GCGTCCAGATTGCGTAACATAATCTCTGTCAAAGTGCATGGGTAAGCATGGCAGGTTAATGAGTGTGTTTCTCTGTCTGAACAAAATGGCATTGCATGAGATTGTTTTTGGTTTGTATACTTTTTGTGAGGATTCGGGTGACTTCGTCGATTCCTTCTCCACCGCCACAGAGGGCGTTCTCGCTTTCCTCGCGGGAGGCGCTGCACATGAAGCACTGGAAGCGGCGCTTAAAATTGCTGGCACCGCACTAAAGGAGAAAAGAAAGAAACGATTTCGTTTTAGTTTGATGACCTTGCAGACATTTTAAGGTAGCTTGCACCAAAGACTAAACAATTACCAAGATGTTGCATGACGCACATAATAAAAAGCTGTTCTATGGCAGGCGGGTCATGGTCTTAAAGTTCTATTAAGGGTCGCGCGCGGGTCTCAGGTTTATTTTCGAATAAAATAACACCTCTGATCTCGGAGGCTCTGCCTATTCTGGTCTGTATTCAGCAGTTGATTTCTTCTACTGCTCCACAAGACCGAAAAAATACATGTTGGAGATACCGACTATATTTACTAAGTGAAACTAATTACGAAAAGGATCTATTTTTACTAGAGGTCTGCATGAATGGAACAAAAACCGAGCGGGAACGTTGTGAGAATGGGATTTGGTCTTGTATCAACATCTTGGTATCTTTCAGCATTTGCTTATACCTTGATACAAGTCCAGTCCGACATCCGTGTGTGGCTGTACTGCATTGACACCCGGTGATCGCCCAACTGGAGAGTGCCCTAAAGCAGAGAAGGAAGACAACGAAATGATTGCGAATTAGCGACTGGAATGATTGGATTATAAGTTTCACAGGCTACACAGTCACCAGGTTGCTTCTGTTCTGTGTTTTGCGGCGGATGTAGTCGCTGGCAGTTTGCTCCTTCTGAATACCGCTATAAGTGTGAAATGGTTACTTTAAGTTCAGTTCTCGCTCTAAACCATCCGAATTTGGACTTGACTTGACATAAAGAAACAGATGAAATGAGGAGATGCTCAACGCTTATTGATTAATGCTTAATGCTCAACTGAAAAGGGCGACAAGGAGAACTGAACTAAAAGTGAAGATTTCGTTATAGTTGAGGCCGAGTTTTGATTTGTGCCGATCTCGTGGCTGAATCAGGAAGAGTCTTGTTGGTTGTTGTGATACCTTAGTTATTTCCATCCATTGTCTCGATTCCTCGACGGTTTTAAACTCGACAAATGCGAAACAGCGTGAGGCACCTAAATTTTAGATAGAAGCAGATACGAAAATGTTTTTGTCAAAATATGTTGTTGGTTGTTTCAATAGTTCTGTAACATTTTTTGGGGATTGCTTTTGGTTTATGTGGAATTTTGTAGATGTTTGTCGTAAGCCAACTATTAAATGAATTGTATTTCCTGTTGACAACATTGCTGGGCACTGGGCACTGGGCACTCAATACTCACGCTCTTCGTGTGGTTTTAGACTAGCCTAATTGTATGTATAAATAGTAAATTCGTCGAATTTGTAACCCACCTGTAGGCTGCTTCCTCATCACTCGTATAGAAGTGGGCTCCATATTCACTTTGATGAGCTCGCCCATGATCTGCAAGGGTTAGCGTTACGTTACAGATCGATATTTTTCCCAGTAGAACCTTATTCTTACGTCTGCCTCGGTAACATGCTTCTGAAGCCCGAAGAGTATGATATTGTTCTGGGCTTCGTTGCAGGTCCTGTGATGCTTGCGGCGATACTGGCTCTCGTCGGTCGCATCGTTGTCGCTATCGTCGTCGGAGGAGTAGCGTCTCTCGCGGTCCCGTTCCCTGTCGCGATCCCTGTTGTTATTCAGCTGGGCGTTGTTGCTCCCATTGTTTCCATTATTATGATGCCGATAGTCAGCGCCCCGACTGAAACGATGGATCCAAGTGTTCAGTTACAGCAAAAATTTGTGCTATCACAGAATGCAAGTCTTACTTGTTGCGCTCATTGCCCCGATCATAGTCGGAGTTGCGTTCCCGCGACTGGCGCTCATAGTTCTTCCACCGCTGATCGCGATTGTTATCATAGTTATCCTCGCGCCGGTCGTAGTTGTCCTCGCTTCGATGCTGACGATTATCAGAGTTATTGCGCGAGTTGTAGTTTCGCTCCTCTTGGTAGTCGTCGTCGATCAGGTCGCGGTAGAGATCCTTGTCCTGACTGTCGCCGGAATGTCTATTGTAATGCGAGGAACGCTCTCGACTCCGCGAACGCGAATTGTGGCGTCTATACCCACCGTGCTCTCGGTTCCGTTCGCTGCAAGAACATATTTCATACTCGTATGAAAGCATACACGTAACGAGGGTATCTTACCGGGAACGTGAACGGGAGCGACTATAGCGTCTATATTGACCTGCACCATGGTTTCCACCGACAACGCCGCCGCCGCCACCGCCATTGCCATTGCCATTTCCACCTCCTCCTGAGAAGCCTCGACCGTAACGTGAATCCATATTACGCTAATCTGATACGAATCGGAGCGGTAATTATATTTAATTGTCTGTCCTCATTTGTCTCGCGCTGGGCCCTTTTCCCGAGCCCGAGCTCTAAAGCTCTAAAACTAATCTTTAGCTAGTTACGTATTCAGATTTGCACATTTCTTACGTATTGTACGTTGCTGGGAGGACCAAGATTATATTTAAAGAGTTCTTTTTCCCCGAAATCCGTTCATTGAGCGTGAAATACAATTCTTACAACAAAAAGGCTGGATGAAAAATCTCTGCCTCCTTTGCCATTCACACAAAACAGACAACATGTTATCGATACTAGCTTGAGTACTTTGGCAAATGAAATACTTTGTGTTGCAAAACGGAGTAGGGAAACTGCTGAAACTGCTATACAGCAACTACAGCTGGTTGAAGAATTAAGGGGAAAATCCCCATCCAAAAAAACATTTACAGAGGTGTTTTATATTACAGATATTCATGCATTTATTTTAAATTTCGTTCGCGTAGTCGTGAGCGATCCTCGCATTACAATAGACATTCCGGCAGCAGTCAGAACAAGGATCTCTACTGCGACCTGATTGACGGCGACTACCAAGAGGAGCGGAACTACTACTCACATTCTGAGCAGCTCTAGTCGTCGACTCAATAAATTTATTTTTCTCTTGCTTACGTTGGATAGCCGAGAGGGCTACCGCTTCAGAGTTCGCTTCAGGTAACTTGGTGTCTCCACTGTTTTCGATCTTGGCTATCGTCGCCGTGAAGTAGTCCGTGTAGTACTGAACGTAGTACGCAGTCTCACCCGGGTTACCTCCACACTGAATGCCTCCGATGTCAGGGGACATAGTAGAGGTTATAAGGAGCGACGTTATTTTTTCGCTGATGTCAGTTTCGATGTTGTAGCTGATAGATACTGAAACAGAAGTAAAGCGATGAGAGAATTGTGTAAGATTGTGTAAAATTGTTTAATTGTTTACCAGCACGTTCATCTAGGGTCAGAGGTGGATCCAGCGATGTACAGGCATTGTGCAACTCCATCGAGTCAACGAGCGTGTCAAGACCTGTCATGTGTCATGTCTTAGACCTTGGAGGTACTTCTCTTCAGACCTTCTTTTCAATCAATAATCTTATGATTTTATACTGTGAGATAACTAAGCCGGAAACACACATTTCATGATCACTGCCGACTGCTGGTTGGGTTTCCTAACTGTCTTGCTTATGGCGCTGATAACTGTGTTAACTCCATCCATTGTTTCGCTTCCTCAACGGTGGTAAATTCGATAAATGCTATACCGCGTGACGGATCTAAATTTCAAACAGAAGCAGATACAAAACGTTTGCGTCAAAAAATGATGATGGATCCGATGGGGTTGTAACATTGGTTCGAAGTTCATCGATTATCATTATCTATTGCAATCATAGCTAAACACTTCCGTCCATTTTCTTACTTATTTGATTAATTTCCATGGATATTCATCGAGTCTTTGACGCTGTTCCGTTTGACGTGTATTCAGCCCTTTACAATGCGCTCGTGATCTGAAAGTATTTAGAAAGAGAATCAGCTAAAGGGAATCCAGTATGACAATTGACACTTTGTGCACACTTCAAACTTGGTGATTCCCTTGGTCACGCCAAAGATAATGATGATTTTGAGGGCATCACTGCCAGCCTGTATATTGTTGCCACCAAACTGACCCTCATTCAGGTTTCCCGTTCACCTTCTCTGCTTTTATGTGGAAGATTTGTTCCACTGGTTATTCCATTTCTGGTCTGTGGCTGATATCCACGAGGTTGGCTGCAAGTAGGTATAGGCATAGGAGATTTGTAGCCAGCTTACTGGTTACTGGACTTGCAGTCCAGTAACGTGCTGCTTTCGTCGGTTGTGCTTCGAATTCGGTAAAGGTCATGACCATTTTTGTTTAGGTTATTGTGGCGCTTGTAGTCTTTCTATCTCCGACACTGATCATGGTCAGAATTATCATCACACTGATCACTGCCATCCTCTCGTCCGAACTGGCGCTGCTCAGGACGGAGAGGACGGATAAATCTACCGCTTTCATTGCCACCTCCTCCACCTCCGTCCATTCCTATTCTCTCCTTGAGGTAAATCCGCGGCCTTGTAGGCACCCCGGTCACCGTTTAGGTTAACAAACTTCTATCAAACGATCTAAGATTAGACAACTGTTTATAGCCTTCCACTCTTTTTTTTTTTTGTTTTTGTGGCACTCTTTTTTGCCATTCACACAATAGCGATAGTTGATTGTAGCGTGAGAATCTAGAGATGAAAATATTTGAAGAACACCAAATTATTTTAAGAAAAAGAAAGAAAAAAATGTTTACGCAAGGCACAGATGTCAAGTTAAATATTGCAAATTATAAAAATATGATTATTATTATAGTATATACGATTATAGTCGGCTCATTTACAGTTGTAATGAAATATTCGCAGTATCGCACAGATCTAAGTATAGTGCTTCAAGACGTCAAAAGCTAGCGCTTTGCAACACTGAAAGTCCCTCACTGCGCAGCGTGTGTTGGGGAAAAACCATTTTATAATATTTTATTCGATCTAAAAGTAGACTTCCCCCGAAAATCAAACAAAACATAATCAGCTCTGCAGGCATCGCTCTGTTCCTTCTGGAAGTGCTGTACAAAGTGAAAAGCAATGAAGAAAGTGCTATTAACGAAAACGCAGTGCATACAGCGGGTGTCGTCTGGAACAGACCTGATATTGAAACAGACAGCGCCAGTTGTAGTTGCTGTTGGACCCGCACCTTTGAACAGCAGCACGTACACACACCGAAAAGCCTTTCTGCCAGTTTACAAGGATATCATCAGAGAAGTCATGCGTATACCAGATAAAGATATACAACAACGTCTCATCGATGCTATTAATGGATCGGGGAGCGATAAGATATCTGCACCTACCTCGCGTCCAAATAAACAGTGTTGTTGTGGGGCGACCAAAGTGAGCGCTTCCACACAAACTGAGGACGAACCATGGATACCATCGCCCAGTACATCTTATCGAAATCATACGACGCCAAATACACTCGTAAAGGGGTTGATAAGAAATGACTCATTGACTGGTGTACCCAGTCCCAGTCCCAGCCCCATTCCTAGTCCCAGTCCAGCTCTATCCATGCCTCAGAAAGTTGCGAAAAAGCGTGGTCGTAAGCGCAACACCTGTGTGCCACAAGTGGTCAAAGTATCAGCAGCTGAAATGGCCCAGCAGGACCGGGAGGCTAAACAACTATCTCCCGTGATCACCAAGAAGAGAAATCTGGAAGTTCCTGTATGTCAAAGTGGCTACAGACACACAATTGTATATTGCAAGTTTGGACATTAATTTATTTGTATTCCCAGGAACGAAAGAGGAAAGAGGAAGATCGACCGGCGTTAGAGCGTCGCAGCTCGACCATGTCGGATGTGTCCATCAACGTGGCTGAAGGTATCGAATGTGTCTACTCTTACATTGAAAATGGTATGGACAATGAAAAACTCATTCGCATAATGGCTATGGAATTCCAGAAGGCCCGTATTTTGTCTCTTCAGGGCCTGCTGTGAGTAATTGTAAACATGTACCTTGAAATCAGATGTGTGATTTTAGTTCTTCCCCTACTTAGACCCATTCATGATGATATTCTAGACGGCGACATTTATGGCGTGCGGCGTCAGATTTTTGTTTGCAAATATAGCAATTTTGATATCAATGAAATGATTAGCGCTGATGGTGAAGATTGCCTGGAACTTGCTCTAACGAATGATCGTGATCCGGATCTAGTCACAGCCCTTTTAACAGCCGGCTGTGTGCCCAACCACATATACGAAAACGGAAATACGGCCCTCCACATAGCTGTCATCAACAACATTGATAGAGAATCCATAAGGCAACTAATGCTACGTATTGACCTGGATCTCTTGCTACAGACAAACGATGCCGGGTACACTGCCCTGCACCTGGCAGTGCGTCACAATCAGTACCATGTGGCAGAGACCATATTGGACTGCATAGATGAGCGGCAATTGGAGGGGAGGGCTGTATATCGGAGGGCAACAGAGACGACAGACTCAAAGCTGACGCCAGAGAAAGCGTTTGCCAAATACTATGAGCGTGCCTGCGATAGACTAGAAACAACCAAGGATGTGCTCAAGAATCGCCGATTAAAGCTGGATATTCTAAATACAGCAGAGTTGATGGCGGGCAACACTCCTCTTTTCTTTGCTGTAGAACAGGGGCAAGGTGAGCTAATGGAAAAGGCGATAAAATATTTCGTAATGTTGCATCATCATCGTCTTTATATTTCAGAGCATATTTGCTATTTCCTGTTGGCTCATTTGTGCGATCCAGACCAGGAAAACCTCAGCGGGCATTCCCCCAAATCGTTTCACTACGAATATGCTCGCATTTTGAGGATTAATTTGAAAATATCCCGCGTGATGGATAAAGTCATTGGCATATTAAATGGATGAAGATAAATGTACATTACATCGAAAATTAAATATGTTTAGCCCCAGTTTAGTTCAAAATTGGTTTTCTTGAGCTTCGCCAATTCCATTGGACGCAGGGACGGTGGTAGACCAATCTGATGTGTTCTCCAAGGCCATTTCTTTGCTTTTCGCTTGCGAGTTTTCGAGTTCTTCTGCGCTCCAACTGCAAAACAATAATTGTTAGGTATTTCCATTTGTAATCCCTTTCCTACGTGGAATGTACCTAGCTTTTCCAGCTTCTTGAACTCCCTTTCACTATAATGACCATAATTGCAATACAGATCGAACTTGCAGTATCCCTTAAAATAGCGCTGACATGGTTTCTTTAGACGCTCCTCTGCCAAAATTTTAGCGGGATCTATGTACATACATATGTAAGTGTCAAACAGTGGGTTAGTTGGACAGTGGGTACGCTCTGTTGCAAGCAGAGATAGTAGCTCGTACCTTCAAAGCGCCGCATGTACCGATACTTGGCCACCGTGTGAGATATGCCATTGTTGTGCAGCTTCCGCACATTCAAGTCACTTTTCATAAAACAACCGCAGTAATCACAAAAATAACTTTGCCCCATTTGGAAAGGGGTGAAAATGTAAACAATAACTTTTCGTCCTAGAGATGGTTAAATCCATGAGTCGATAGTACTACCACTAACCATACAGTATAGTATATACCACGCAAAGTACGTGATAATGCATGTGCACCCATACACTAAAACATGCTGGTGGCAAAACAGATCAGACCTGAGAGAGTTCAAAAAATCTGAAAAAACATACAATCACATATTTTTGTCGAAACATATTGCGTGTGTACTAACACATGCAAAGATGTTCTCTCTGCGCTCTCTCTCTCATGATGACGTCACTCTGGGGTACGGATAGCGCAAGTCGGTGTGTGACACTTTCGTTGTATGAACTGGCACATCTATATACTGTATGGTTAGTGCTTGAGTACTTTGGCAAATGAAATACTTTGTGTTGCAAAACGGAGTAGGGAAACTGCTGAAACTGCTATACAGCAACTACAGCTGGTTGAAGAATTAAGGGGAAAATCCCCATCCAAAAAACATTTACAGAGGTGTTTTATATTACAAATATTCATGCATTTATTTTAAATTTCGTTCGCGTAGTCGTGAGCGATCCTCGCATTACAATAGACATTCCGGCGGCAGTCAGAACAAGGATCTCTACTGCGACCTGATTGACGGCGACTACCAAGAGGAGCGGAACTACTACTCACATTCTGAGCAGCTCTAGTCGTCGACTCACTAAATTTATTTTTCTCCTGCTTACGTTGGATAGCCGAGAGGGCTACCGCTTCAGAGTTCGCTTCAGTTAACTTGGTATCTCCACTGTTTTCGATCTTGGCTATCGTCGCCGTGAAGTAGTCCGTGTAGTACTGAACGTAATACGCAGTCTCACCCGGGTTACCTCCACACTGAATGCCTCCGATGTCAGGGGACATACATAGTAGAGGTTATAAGGTGCGACGTCTCGGTTATTTTTTCGCTGATGTCAGCTTCGATGTTGTAGCTGATAGATACTGAAACAGAAGTAAAGCGATGAGAGAATTGTGTAAGATTGTGTAAAATTGTTTAATTGTCTACCAGCACGTTCATCTAGGGTCAGAGGTGGATCCAGCGATGTACAGGAATTGTGCAACTCCATCGAGTCAACGAGCGTGTCAAGACCTGTCATGTGTCATGTCTTAGACCTTGGAGGTACTTCTCTTCAGACCTTCTTTTCAATCAATAATCTTATGATTTTATACTGTGAGATAACTAAGCCGGAAACACACATTTCATGATCACTGCCGACTGCTGGTTGGGTTTCAAAACTGTCTTGCTTATGGCGCTGATAACTGTGTTAACTCCATCCATTGTTTCACTTCCTCAACGGTGGTAAATTCGATAAATGCTATACCGCTTGACGGATCTAAATTTCAAACAGAAGCAGATACAAAACGTTTGCGTCAAAAAATGATGATGGATCCGATGGGGTTGTAACATTGGTTCGAAGTTCATCGATTATCATTATCTATTGCAAACATAGCTAAACACTTCCGTCCATTTTCTTACTTATTTGATTAATTTCCATGGATATTCATCGAGTCTTTGACGCTGTTCCGTTTGACGTGTATTCATGCGCCTTCCCCTCCCTTTACAATGCGCTCGTGATCTGAAAGTATTTAGAAAGAGAATCAGCTAAAGGGAATCCAGTATGACAATTGACACTTTGTGCACACTTCAAACTTGGTGATTCCCTTGGTCACGCCAAAGATAATGATGATTTTGAGGGCATCACTGCCAGCCTGTATATTGTTGCCACCAAACTGACCCTCATTCAGGTTTCCCGTTCACCTTCTCTGCTTTTATGTGGAAGATTTGTTCCACTGGTTATTCCATTTCTGGTCTGTGGCTGATATCCACGAGGTTGGCTGCAAGTAGGTATAGGCATAGGAGATTTGTAGCCAGCTTACTGGTTACTGGACTTGCAGTCCAGTAACGTGCTGCTTTCGTCGGTTGTGCTTCGAATTCGGTAAAGGTCATGACCATTTTTGTTTAGGTTATTGTGGCGCTTGTAGTCTTTCTATCTCCGACACTGATCATGGTCAGAATTATCATCACACTGATCACTGCCATCCTCTCGTCCGAACTGGCGCTGCTCAGGACGGAGAGGACGGATAAATCTACCGCTTTCATTGCCACCTCCTCCACCTCCGTCCATTCCTATTCTCTCCTTGAGGTAAATCCGCGGCCTTGTAGGCACCCCGGTCACCGTTTAGGTTAACAAACTTCTATCAAACGATCTAAGATTAGACAACTGTTTATAGCCTTCCACTCTTTTTTTTTTTTGTTTTTGTGGCACTCTTTTTTGCCATTCACACAATAGCGATAGTTGATTGTAGCGTGAGAATCTAGAGATGAAAATATTTGAAGAACACCAAATTATTTTAAGAAAAAGAAAGAAAAAAATGTTTACGCAAGGCACAGATGTCAAGTTAAATATTGCAAATTATAAAAATATGATTATTATTATAGTATATACGATTATAGTCGGCTCATTTACAGTTGTAATGAAATATTCGCAGTATCGCACAGATCTAAGTATAGTGCTTCAAGACGTCAAAAGCTAGCGCTTTGCAACACTGAAAGTCCCTCACTGCGCAGCGTGTGTTGGGGAAAAACCATTTTATAATATTTTATTCGATCTAAAAGTAGACTTCCCCCGAAAATCAAACAAAACATAATCAGCTCTGCAGGCATCGCTCTGTTCCTTCTGGAAGTGCTGTACAAAGTGAAAAGCAATGAAGAAAGTGCTATTAACGAAAACGCAGTGCATACAGCGGGTGTCGTCTGGAACAGACCTGATATTGAAACAGACAGCGCCAGTTGTAGTTGCTGTTGGACCCGCACCTTTGAACAGCAGCACGTACACACAACGAAAAGCCTTTCTGCCGGTTTACAAGGATATCATCAGAGAAGTCATGCGTATACCAGATAAAGATATACAACAACGTCTCATCGATGCTATTAATGGATCGGGGAGCGATAAGATATCTGCACCTACCTCGCGTCCAAATAAACAGTGTTGTTGTGGGGCGACCAAAGTGAGCGCTTCCACACAAACTGATGACGAACCAAGGATACCATCGCCCAGTACATCTTATCGAAATCATGCGACGCCAAATACACTCGTAAAGGGGTTGATAAAAAATGACTCATTGACTGATGTACCCAGTCCCAGTCCCAGCCCCATTCCTAGTCCCAGTCCAGCTCCATCCATGCCTCAGAAAGTGGCGAAAAAGCGTGGTCGTAAGCGCAACACCTGTGTGCCACAAGTGGTCAAAGTATCAGCAGCTGAAATGGCCCAGCAGGACCGGGAGGCTAAACAACTATCTCCCGTGATCACCAAGAAGAGAAAACTGGAAGTTCCTGTATGTCAAAGTGGCTACAGACACACAATTGTATATTGCAAGTTTGGACATTAATTTATTTGTATTCCCAGGAACGAAAGAGGAAAGAGGAAGATCGACCGGCGTTAGAGCGTCGCAGCTCGACCATGTCGGATGTGTCCATCAACGTGGCTGAAGGTATCGAATGTGTCGACTCTTACATTGAAAATGGTATGGACATCATTCGCATAATGGCTATGGAATTCCAGAAGGCCCGTATTTTGTCTCTTCAGGGCCTGCTGTGAGTAATTGTAAACATGTACCTTGAAATCAGATGTGTGATTTTAGTTCTTCCCCTACTTAGACCCATTCATGATGATATTCTAGACGGCGACATTTATGGCGTGCGGCGTCAGATTTTTGTTTGCAAACATAGCAATTTTGATATCAATGAAATGATTAGCGCTGATGGTGAAGATTGCCTGGAACTTGCTCTAACGAATGATCGTGATCCGGATCTAGTCACAGCCCTTTTAACAGCCGGCTGTGTGCCCAACCACATATACGAAAACGGAAATACGGCCCTCCACATAGCTGTCATCAACAACATTGATAGAGAATCCATAAGGCAACTAATGCTACGTATTGACCTGGATCTCTTGCTACAGACAAACGATGCCGGGTACACTGCCCTGCACCTGGCAGTGCGTCACAATCAGTACCATGTGGCAGAGACCATATTGGACTGCATAGATGAGCGGCAATTGGAGGGGGGGGCTGTATATCGGAGGGCAACAGAGACGACAGACTCAAAGCTGACGCCAGAGAAAGCGTTTGCCAAATACTATGAGCGTGCCTGCGATAGACTAGAAACAACCAAGGATGTGCTCAAGAATCGCCGATTAAAGCTGGATATTCTAAATACAGCAGAGTTGATGGCGGGCAACACTCCTCTTTTCTTTGCTGTAGAACAGGGGCAAGGTGAGCTAATGGAAAAGGCGATAAAATATTTCGTAATGTTGCATCATCATCGTCTTTATATTTCAGAGCATATTTGCTATTTCCTGTTGGCTCATTTGTGCGATCCAGACCAGGAAAACCTCAGCGGGCATTCCCCCAAATCGTTTCACTACGAATATGCTCGCATTTTGAGGATTAATTTGAAAATATCCCGCGTGATGGATAAAGTCATTGGCATATTAAATGGATGAAGATAAATGTACATTACATCGAAAATTAAATATGTTTAGCCCCAGTTTAGTTCAAAATTGGTTTTCTTGAGCTTCGCCAATTCCATTGGACGCAGGGACGGTGGTAGACCAATCTGATGTGTTCTCCAAGGCCATTTCTTTGCTTTTCGCTTGCGAGTTTTCGAGTTCTTCTGCGCTCCAACTGCAAAACAATAATTGTTAGGTATTTCCATTTGTAATCCCTTTCCTACGTGGAATGTACCTAGCTTTTCCAGCTTCTTGAACTCCCTTTCACTATAATGACCATAATTGCAATACAGATCGAACTTGCAGTATCCCTTAAAATAGCGCTGACATGGTTTCTTTAGACGCTCCTCTGCCAAAATCTTAGCGGGATCTATGTACATACATATGTAAGTGTCAAACAGTGGGTTAGTTGGACAGTGGGTACGCTCTGTTGCAAGCAGAGATAGTAGCTCGTACCTTCAAAGCGCCGCATGTACCGATACTTGGCCACCGTGTGAGATATGCCATTGTTGTGCAGCTTCCGCACATTCAAGTCACTTTTCATAAAACAACCGCAGTAATCACAAAAATAACTTTGCCCCATTTGGAAAGGGGTGAAAATGTAAACAATAACTTTTCGTCCTAGAGATGGTTAAATCCATGAGTCGATAGTACTACCACTAACCATACAGTATAGTATATACCACGCAAAGTACGTGATAATGCATGTGCACCCATACACTAAAACATGCTGGTGGCAAAACAGATCAGACCTGAGAGAGTTCAAAAAATCTGAAAAAACATACAATCACATATTTTTGTCGAAACATATTGCGTGTGTACTAACACATGCAAAGATGTTCTCTCTGCGCTCTATCTCTCATGATGACGTCACTCTGGGGTACGGATAGCGCAAGTCGGTGTGTGACACTTTCGTTGTATGAACTGGCACATCTATATACTGTATGGTTAGTGGTACTACTCTTGATAGTGATGCAAGCTAATAGACTATCGTATGCATTTTTTTGCAAATTTTGTTATGGAAATATATGAAATCTTTTAAATATTACATTTTTGTAATAGCCACTCCAAAATAATATCATTTAAAGGACTGGGATTTTCCCAGGCAGTCGGCATGTGGGCATGGCAAAATGTTTCATCTAGCTAATAATATTCGACGGAATATCAAAATTTAACAATAGGAACGACTATCCTCTTTTGTTTTTTTTTTTACCTATTTCGCTAAAACCTTTTTTTAGACAAGATCCAATAAAAGCAAGTGTTTAAAATAAACCAGTCAATTAGAAAATAGATTCACTAATCGTATAAAATTATGTGGGCATGCATAAATGTTCTATATAGCTAGTAATATTCTACAGAATATCAAAAACGGGGGATATGTAAAAAAGATCTTGAATTCGTCAGTATATGGTATATTTAGAAAATATCACGTAAATTTTGGTATATTTGCGAGGGCCAGACAGTATATATATGATAAATAAATCCACGGTCACACAAAGTGAAAGACAAAAGATATTGGCAAAAAGCCGGTGGAAAAGGGAAAATTTAAGAGTTGTAAACCGCTTATTAGAGGAATGGAGCCTACGCTGGATACGTATAAGCTTAGCTGTGAGCTGTTTGGCCACAGCTTAGATGTGCGCGCTGTTGCCGCTGGTAGCGTCACGCCCGAGGGTCAAATTATTTTGTCTGGGTCTCGCGACAAGAGTACAAAGCTGTGGAAACCAATTGGGTGCGTTGTTTGAGCTAGAATCATGTGGTTTTTTAATCCTCAATCCTCCTTTGATATTCCAGCAACGAGTATATTGAGAGCCTGACGCTGAAGGACCACAAAAATTTCATATCCTACATATATTTCCATACCGCCGAGCAGTGGATTTGCACGGCCAGCAATGACGCGACAATTTGCATCTATAAGCAAGACGGCTTTCTGCCCCTGCTTACGCTTAAAGGTCACGAGTCGACCGTTTGTGCCTTGTCTGAGGGCCTGAAGCCGCGCAGTCTCATCAGCGGCAGTTGGGACAAAACGGCTCGTGTGTGGACCATAGGAGAAACGGGCGAAGCTACGACCGTGTCCCTCAAAGGGCACGAAGCAGCCGTCTGGGCTGTGGCCACTCTGAAAACGGAGCAAAAGTACGTGACCGGTGGGGCCGACAAGTGCATTTACTACTGGAACGAGAAGGGCGAGAAGCTGCGTCTGCTCAAGGGCCACACCGACTGCGTTCGCGGTCTGATTGGCCTAGAGGCCAACACGCTACTCTCGTGCGGCAACGATGGCGTCCTGAACTTCTGGAACGAGGAGGGCGAGTGCGTGCGCAAGCTGGCCGGGCATACCAACTACATCTATGCCATGGCCCGAAACCAGGCCTTGGGCGACCAGGTCGTTGTCTCCTGCGGCGAGGACAGCACTCTGCGCATGTGGAATGTAATAACCGGTGATGAGTTGGGCGAGCCCATTCTGCATCCGGGAATATCGGTGTGGTCAGTGGCGTGTCTGCTAAACGGAGACATTGTCACGGGCTGCAGCGATGGCGTCGTCCGAGTCTTTAGCAAAGACCCAGCGCGTCAAGCAAGCGAGGCCAACCGAAAAGCCTTCGACCTGGCCGTTGCCACTCGAAAGTCGCAGATAAACGAGGAGATTGGCGGCGTTAAGAAAACTGAGTGAGCCTTGCCTTCGCTTTTCTTTCATCTCGCACTCGGTGCCTTATGTACTCCTTTCAGTCTTCCAGGTCCTGAGGCCCTGCTAGCGAATGGAACCCGCGAGGGACAAACGAAAATGGTACGTCATCTAGATGGATCCGTCAAGTGTTATTCCTGGGAGCTCGGCAAGTGGAATTTGGTTGGTGATGTCATGGGCGCCTCGGGTGGCACTCAGGTCACCTCCGGCAAGAATCTGTACGAGGGCAAGGAGTACGACTTTGTGTTCAATGTCGACATCTCCGACACGGCTCCGCCGATAAAACTTCCCTACAACCATGGCGAAGATCCGTGGCTGGCAGCACAAGCCTTCATTCACAAGAACGATCTGCCACAGGCATACCTCGAACAGGTGGCCAACTTTATTGTAAAGAACTCTAAGAGTGGGCCTGTGGTGATGAGTCAGGCACCCAGCGGCTATCAGGATCCCTTTACTGGCGGCTCTCGCTATGTACCCGGCTCTACCAGTACGAATGTCGCAACCCCTGGCAATGCGGATCCCTTCACCGGATCCTCTAGCTATTCTACTAGCGCAAGCAATGCGTCGTCCAGTGTGGATGTGAACTTTGTGCGTGCGGGAGATAAACATTTCCCCGTCAACAACTATCGCACGTTTGACACCTGCGATGCCACCAAAGTGCTGGAGAAATTAAAGTGAGTGGATTGGTGATTTGATGGCTATTACATTAAGGATCTTTAAATTGCTGAATTGCTTTTTTCAGAGAGTTCAACAAAAAGCTTACGCCCAGCGATGGACAAGTTGGCGATGAATTGTTGCTTGCTGTCATTAAGCTAACTGATCAGTCTCCGGTGGTGGACCTGACAGCTCTGGAGGCGTTGACTATTCTACTTAAATGGCCACCCGGTCAGGTCTTTCCGGTCATCGATATACTGCGCCTGGCCGTGCGCAACGAGGCAATCTTCAGTATCCTCACTAATAGCCATAACATCCTTGGAATCGTAATACCACACCTCAGTGGAGCTGCGGCTAATCAGTTGATGGTGGTGCGCTGCTTGGCCAACAGCCTCACCCACCACACTGGAAGGAAGCAGGTGGAGTCGGAGTTGCCCAAGATCATTGAACTGATTAGTGGAATCCGTGCGGGCAGCGCCAATCTGCAGATTGCGATGGCTACCTTCTATCTGAACCTGACCATTTCGCAGACTCTGGGTGTGGCAAAGTCCGAGGTGTGCTATATGGTCACCGCGGGTGTTGTGGAGCTGCTCAAGTGGGCCAAGGATCTGGAGGCCTGCTACCGTTCCATGCAAGCCATCGGAAACTTGACCACGACCCCATGTGGCCAGGAGACCATCGCCCAAGTTATCTCCGTCGACTATGTGATGGACAAGTTGCGTGAACTGACCAACACGCCTCAAGGCGAGAACTTCAGCAAGTTGAACACGGTGGGACAGGCCCTTCTGGCGGCATTCTAAGTATACTTTCTGCCTAATTTCTAAATTATATATTGGAGAATGATTTTTCTAAATAAATATTAAACACTTTAGTCGGCTGACGTTTTGGAATGCTGAGGCGCCTCTTCTGTGCCTGCTGGCTTCGAATTAGCAGCGGGCTGCTGTCGGCTGTTTATGCGCTCCAACAGCTCCAGCTTCCATCGCTCCTCGGGCACTCCCTTGGCCCAGTCAGGCACAGTAATGTTGGGTAGCGAAATCGTGGACATGGCTTTCAGTATCTAAGGATATAAATATTGACATAAGATCTTGATCGTCTAGCTTTCCACGAGTACGGCCAAACAACCTGTTCGGTTTGCGTCTTATCCAGCTCCATTTGAAGTTCTTGGGGTCGGGGCTCATTCCACACTTGCCGTTCGATTTCAATGTCGGCACTCTCAATGGGAGGCATATTGGGATCGCCGTGGGTAACTGCTGCTGTTGTCAGATCAATGTCATCGTCATCATCTACAGGTACTGTGATGGCCTCCGCCTCCAATTGTGGTGGCTGTGGCTCTGTTCTCGGTTCACTGTCGTTCACATCACCATCGTCCATGGCAAGCATTTGGTATCCATCGTAGGCATCCGAGTCATCGCTATCTTCGCTCTCGATACCAACGCGCGGATGGTCCACTGCTGGCGTTGGAAATATCTCATGACCAGGATCAGACGGTAATTCTGGCCCCATTGCTTTATTATTTATTTTTCCGTAGTTCTTTCTTCGATAACGATAGCCCGTAGCAGTGCTGTAAAATTCCAGCCAAGACAGTAGGTAGCGAACCAGTAGTTCGCTTTATTGCGAACCTATAGAGCCGTTACTTTTATAAGCAGGAATGTTAACGGAGACTAAACACGTATAGTTGTGAAAATTTAATACATATAACCCGCTGTGGAGGCAACGGCAGCTGAGCTGCTCGCATCGGGTACCCCGCCCTTTTGATGCGGCACAATTGTGGATTTGATGTCCCGATTAGAGGTTTTGCGCAGCTCCGTCGCGGCATGCTGCAGCTGCACGGTGCACTCGTTGCTGGCGCCATTCAAGGTGAGATGAGCGCACTCCTTTTCCAGAAGCATGGCCAGAGCCTCGAGAAGCTCAACGAAACCGAGTGCCAAGGCGGCGCGACGGATGCGATTGAGTTCCTTGTAGAAGTGCTGGGTCTTGTCCGGCATCTTCTTGGCATGGCGCAGTACCTTCTGAACGTCGGACTGTAGGCTAGCCTGTCGTATCCACACAACGCTGCTCTGGGAATAGGAACGGCGATCGGCGCGAACTGGAAAGCTGGCCGTTTCGCCGGGGGCCAGATCCTCGGTAAAACCGAGTAACTCCAGATCTCCCAACCAGGGTATGACATTCGATCCTGGCGGCAGAATGTTCAGCATCAGATTTGACTTCTTCTTGGCATCGGTAAAGGCATACATGAAGCCGTACCACTTCTCGCCCACCCGCACCAAGGCGGCCATATTCTCCATTTTCAGAGCCCCGTGCAGCAGGACACAGAGGCACTCCTTCTGCTGCTCCGTTTGTGGGCCACTGCTGTGCTTTAGCACGATCGTGACATCCGCATCATCGCCGCTCTCTTCGGTGTCCTTGGGATCCTTGGCGTAAAACTCTCGAATGTCCTGTTCGAGTCTCTCCAGCTCGTAGTTCGGATTGCTTGTGTCTAGCGTGAGTTTGGCTGGCTTCGCCACTACTGCCATGCCCGCAGAGCGACGACTTGTCTTCTCACGCTCGACCTTCGGCAGTACCCAATGCCGGCTTAGAGTCGCCGGCGAGCCTATGTCGGACAGAGCCAGGAAACCACACACGTCGATCCGCTGATCAATTTGACGCACCTCGGCCTCCACGCCAAGCACTGCCGGCTGCTCATATGGGGTTGTGGGGGGCCAGAGCAGAACGGGAGCCTCCATGCGGAAATAGCTGCCGCACTTCAACGTGACCTCGGTGGACTTGTAGCTTGTCTCGCACAGACGTTCGATCAGCTCGAAAACGGCAGTGCGTCCCAGTTCACTTTTGTGACTCGGAGTAGAAGTGGCCTCATTTGTTTCGGGATTCTTTACGGGTGTCATAAATAGCTGACCTGGATAAAAGCAAAGGCAAAGGAAAAGGCGTTTAGGGGTAAATTCTTGAGGTGTTCATTTCTTTACCTACCCTTTAGTAAGGCAGCGTCTAAGAGTTGCTGATACATGACCAGGGCGCGGGTAAAATACTGATCACTGTGTAGTCCCAGACATATGAAGTTCAGGTTGTAGTTAGCCACAGTCCGGAGCCACGCGTACTCCGGATCAGCTTCTTTGCCGGCATAGGTTTCTAGAAAGCCGCTGATCGAAGTGGTGCCAAAACCCAGACCGCAGTCGGTGAACACAACCAGCTGCAAGAGGTTCTGTGCTCCCCAGGTGGACATTATGCTGACGGATGTCTTAAGCATGGTCAGCAGACAGGCCTTGTCCACCGTCTCGATCTTCTTCACCGCCTGTCGTATCTGATCATAGTCGCGTGTGAAATCCACCTTCAACTCCGCGGTCGTTGTATACGATATCAGGGCAAGGTGTTCCAGTTTGCCGGCCGCCGTGAAATTGTCGAGTAGATGTTGGATGCCCTTGGTGGCCAGCGATAGATATGTGTGCTCATTCCTGCCGGGAACTGGGCGTAGCATCGAAAGCGATGCATCTACGGCTATGATCGTCGGCATTGTAAATTATAGTAAAAACAATCAAAATGTACTTTTTCCTGAGCTGAGCGTCTTTGTTTACGTATCTTCTTCTTGTACTCCAGCTGAAAGTGCCATTCCCTTCGCAAGGCGCTCATTTAACGTTTTCAAGTGAATGGCATATTTCTTCCATTTGGCGCCAACAAAAAATTCAATTAAAATCGACGCCTGCTAAATACGAACTTAAGCATCTCAATCAATCGTTTGGGGACTGGACTGCATATTAGATTTTAATTGTCTTGATTTCGCCGCGAAACCATCCAGTGATAGAGACCCCTGTCATTTGTTTGCATTGCACTCAATAGTTTTGTATTAATATAAATTGAATTTTGATTCGATTCCACTTCCACCCCGACTTGACTATGCGGGGTCGGTCTCTTCCTGCTCTTTTAATTACATTTTATTAAAAACATATGAGCGCCGCCCGCGGGGCTCTCTCCAGCCCCCAGCATCGGCAGTCGGCAGTCGCAGAGGCATTATTCAGGGAGAGGAGAATACAAATCCACTCCCGACCAGGCGCCAGCATTCATTCAGTGTGCTCTGCTCGAGCAGTGAGGTCGCGTCTCCAAGCAAAGAATCATTTCCAAAGTGTGCCACATAAAATATTTCTGTTTTAAGACTTCTTGCAGTTGGAGTGTACAAACTTCTCAAGAAAGTGAGTAATAATTGTATTGACTAGCTCATAGTATCTTCAATGAATATAGAATATACTAGCATAGAGGCCTTATGCCATATATACAGCACAAACAATTTATCAACCTTTTAACCCAAGCCGAGCATCCTTATCAACAAATAATTCTCTCGTCAGCCTCGGTGTTTTTAATTTTTTACTCATTAGCGGTGATCGTAAATAATAATTTCACTCGCATATTTCTGACCCAATTTCCCGAATGCAGCATTTCCTCTCCATATAGTGGAAATCTGGCACGAGGGAGGGTAGGGATATTTTTGCGTCATTTGTTTATCGTTGCAAGAACAATATAGCCGATTATATGGCGCTGCGCTCTATATATGCATATATGTATGTACATATGTATGTACATACATAGTTCACACACATCAGCGAGGTCTAACCAACCACACAATGAATCCGATCCGACAAGGAACCCATGCGCTTTGTTTGCAAATCTTTTGGAATGACTTTATTTATTTGTGTTTTCCCCGGTCCCGTCCCAATAATAGACCCCTAAATATTGCATTTTTGGCTTGCATCGGCCATAAATTGTTCGCATTTTGTTTTGTTTATACGAATGGTATTTGTTATAAACAATTTTAGCTGTAATTAATAAGGAAATGTTTGGCTTATAACTACCACCCGGATACACAATGGCAAAACGGCGCGGAGCGACGCCATTTAAATTTATTTTCAATTTCCATTGATTCAGTTTCCTCTCGACTCTGCACAGAATACGCTGTGGATTGCACTCCACTACTCGAATCTGCATAGCTGCATCCCATTTAAAGATCATATCGGATCAGATCAGACCAGATCATCAGAGCCACGCACTACTGCATCATGGCCAGGGGAAGTCGAACACTCCAATTAGTATTCCTAGCTTTAATTGCTCTACTATCGCAATGGCAAACGACAACTGCGATGCCCGTCACGTAAGTACATATATTCTTTATTATCCATATATTTCATAGCATACCTTGGTTGATATTCAATGGGACACTTCTAAAAGACAAATATTTACGTATGTAGGTTCGTTCTCATTTGGTTCTCTATAAATATTTGCCTTTAAAAAATCTTTAATTCGATTTATCAACTTATCATAATATATTCTTTTTGTTGTAAACTTCTTTATAATTAGGGATTTTCCTATCATTGAATTTTATTTGATTTAATACTCAATATTTTATTAGATTTCAATGCTTTAAATCCTCCAAATAAAAGCCTAATGTCTATGCAGCTTATAGAAAATTGAAAAAGATTTAGTTTTTATTTAGGATAATCCGGAGAAATCCAGAAAAAGAATAAATCTCAGATCCCAAATCATTAAAAGAGCTGTAATTGGATGCCTAACTTTTGAACAGAAAAGAAAACTGAATACTCGGGGACTTTGACACATGTCACACACATTCGTTCGCACTTCATTCGGGATATGGGATTGGGCATTACCCATGGGGAATTTTTATGCGAAATATGCAAGACATCAACTCCGTGTCGGCGGCTGTCCATCCCCATCCCCAGTCCAATCCACGTCCCCTGCATCCACACGCAGTCCCAGGCGCTGGCCTCCCTAATGGCTAGTGCCTTCAGAAGAAACGAAGATGTTCCGTCCGTCCGGCTGTCTTCTCGTACGTTTGTACGTCCGTCTGTTTCTGTTCCGCTTATTTGTTTGTTTATTTTCGGACCCGGGGCCGGGGCCGAGGCATGTTTTTACTGCATCTCTCTAACTGCAGACACTTCATGCAAATGGGAATCGGGAGTGGGATAGAGCGGCATGTGTGCCCGGCACTTAGGCAGTCGCATCTCCCCCTACTCCTACTCCGCCCCGAATCACTCGTATCTATGCTCTCGCTCCGGCATATCCATCAGCATCAATGCATTTCACACAAACAGAAACTAAACAGGGTTCCTGACCCTGAGCCGGGAGAACCATTCACGATCGCAATCGAAATGGAAATTAAGAGTGGGAATTGGAATGGGAATGGGAGTGCGGCCCTTCAATATTTATAGATACAATGGTGGTGGCGGCAGAGGCACAGGCAATGCCAGCGGCCTCCCACCCAGATGATTAATGAGTGAGAGCGAAGCTAATTTTAAGCAAAACTCCTTGTCCGCTGCCTCGTTCCAGCAATGAGGAACTGCGCGGCACCATTCAGTCGCTGATCTATTCGTACAACCAGCTCGACAATAAGCTGGAACGGCACGAGCATCGAGAGCGTGCCCTGGGGGAGCTGCTGAAGAAGGCCCTGCAGTCGCTGCAAAAAGGCCAGAAGAGTCTGGAGCCCATCAATGGGATATTCGGAAGGCTAGACGAGCGGGTCAGCCAGATCGAGACCATGCTCATCACGGTGAGTCGGAGACATTAACCACAGGCCTCGCCCTTAATTCCACATTCCATCCAGCAAGAGGAGAAATACAATGCCCAGTCGGATCGGTTTAATCAGGCTACCGAGCACATGTTCAAATGGATGCGGGAGAACGACGAGTGCTTTAAGCGTCCTCCAGCTAATGCCAATTTGATTGCGGCTGCCCCAGCACCAGCGGCCATTCCCAATGAGTTTGTCAAGGAGCAGCAGCGGCTGAACAAGCAGCTCCTCGAGGAGATCCAGAAACTCTCATCGAGTGTGGTCTCTCTGCTGGACAGCAGCAAACAGGCAGCCGCCCAGACCCAAAAGAACTTCGACAGCATGCCCAAGGCCACCGAACTGCTCACCCAGATCGAGGCGAAGCTCCAACAGCACTCATCCAGCGTCACTACTGCAGCTCCGCCAAAGAACGATGAGTTTGAGGCGCAGCTTCTGGAGCGTCTCAATGCTTTGGGTGGTCAGGTGGCCAAACTGAGCGATGCTCCACCTCCAGCTGCTCCTGTTGGCCTCAATGAGAAGGACCGAGCGTACATCCAAGAGTTGAATAATGATACTTTGAATGCCCTGGCCAAACTGAAGAGCGAGACTGTTTCTGGACAGCAAACAGGTTGGTATAATCTTCAAATCTAATACTTTCTAACATAAGTAGATTAAACATCCTTAAAAATTGAAAGCTCCCTTCTGAAGCTGATCCAACATCCTTATGTGCACTGCACACTTATAACAGCATGAAATATAATCTAATGTTTATATATGTATTTCTTATAGCTTTGACCCAGACGACGGAACGTTTGCAGCAGACTGAGGCCAATATCCAGGCATTCTTTGCTTCCGCGAACGAGAGCAACAGCAAGCTGAACGATGGTTTCGAGGCGTTGGGCAAGTTCAATAACATCTTGATGACCAATTCCGAGGTGGTGCTAGACATGCAACGTAAGGTGGAGTTCGGCACCCTGCAGATTGTGCAGCGGGTTAGCAAGTTTTTGGAGGAACAGGTGACCGACTTGAAGGCTGTGCTCAACACACGATTTACTGCTCTGGATGGGGCCGTGGTCAGTGGTCAGCAGGAGACGACTCGCAACATTAGCGGGCTGCTGGATACGGAGCTTACGCAGGTGTGGCATCGAATCGAGATCATGTCCAGTGAAATTAGCCAAAGCAGGGATCTGCTGAGCATCATTCAGGCCGCTTCCGATGGCTACATAAACAGCACCTTGGCCACAATGATGGGTCTGGGCGGCAAGGTGGAGGAGACAAAGAAGCACATGATCGATATGGACGAGAACCTGAACTTCCTGCTGGGTAAACTGTCGCTGATGTCCAGCGAGTTTGCCAACATAAAAAAGGGCCTTGCCGACTCGCTCGAGGATCTGCGCAACTCCTTCCATCTCCTGCACGAGCGCATGCCGACGGGTCCGGGGCCGCACAACATCGAGAAGAACCAGTATCTGACCGACGTGAATCTGCTTTCCAAGCGCCATGCCCAGGAGTAGGAGGCAACCACTGCAATCATAATTAACATTTAACATAAATAATACAATAACCTTAACCGTAGCGCTTAAGGACGCCCACTTACAACATACAACATATTTATGCAATTGCGATCTTAAACTCTCTCTTAAATACATTTCGTTTATGAACAAATTACTCCTTCGCACTTCATGCTTACGCTCTAGTGTATTTGCTCCGGGCTATAATTTACATACGGAATAGGATAACTACTTAAATATATTTTATCAATTGAAATTTCATATTCGCTGGGCCTAAGCACCTAAGCCCTCACAGTTGCACTACTTGCCCCACCTCTGCTCGCAGCGTGAGTATCGGTAGAGCACCTTGGTGAAGGATTCCACGTTGAAGTACCGATCGCTGGGATGCGTGTGGAACTCGGTGAAGCGCACATGCCACGGCATCAAGCCGTACGTACACGTTTGACGTGCAAAAATGATGCCTAAGTCCGGGTCCGGCGCATCATAGCCCAGCCGCTTGGCCAGCCTTAAGGTTATCTGCTCGGTGAGGGACTCCCGCTTCTGCAGCAGACCCTTTACCAGAGGCGTCTCTCTAATTTCGTACAGATCTCGGCAGACATCCGCTATAAGGGCATGGCAATCCGCGGGCCTGATTCGGTAGACCTGCAGCAGCAAAGAAAAAAATCAATTAGCGTTTTGTACCGTGCACAGATAAGGCGACGATTATTTCTGGGAATCGACGGTCGGGTCGCTAGTACGGCGGCGTTTCTTATCAGCCTGTCTTACCTGCAGCTGTTGCGGTAAATGCGTACCGTTTACACCGTTCGCATACCCATTTTTCTTGTGCCCATTGGTATGCCCATTTTTGTGATGAGCCAGTTTCGCTGGCCAAACGAAGCTCCTACTGCTGCCGTTGCTGTCATCCCGTGGCTGGCACAGGGGAGCCAGGTCCACATAGCCGTGTTTTTCCTCGCGCCTGTCGTAGACACTGATGTGCTTTATACCAATGGCGAGAGCGTAACCGAAAATTGCATTTAGTCGTCCAGCATCCACGTAGTAGTCATCCGGAGCTATGATCAGCACCAGGTGCTGCGGCATTTTGGTCAATCTTGCCTTGCAGTCGGCGAGTAAGCGGTTCTCGTGCCGCTCACGCGCATTTTTTCCTCGACAAAAGTCATATGACCCGCATACAAGGGCATGAAACTTCTGGTGCAGTCGCCGCAGAAGCTCGTAGGCTCCGACCAGGAGTAACAGGAGCTTGCCAAGCAGTAAGCAGATCACCTCAATCATGGTGGGATCGGCCTGCGGAATGTGTGGAATCGATGGCGACCGCTGGTGGCCTCCTGTTGCTTCTTGAGGTGCCGTTCAAAGTGTACACAAGCAAACATAACCTGAAAACAGAGGCGGAACGTTAGTCAAACACTTTTGTTGGAGCCAAGGACTCACCCACTCTAATCAAGGCCTTTGTGGCGTAATGCTTCAATCACTATGTGGGGGTCATCGTGTTATGTAGCTTCTTTCGAATAAACCCGAGTACGTGTTCTAATTAGAAAAGTGGCCGGAGCTGAGTTTTGGTTTTGGTATTTCTCCTTCATTTATTTGTGGTGTTTTTGGTGGTCATACTCTGTATCGATGGTTCGTGAAATGTTGCAAGGGGTGATAGAACAACGAGGTAAAGATACAAGACTAACTGCTATACATAAATAAATATAACAAATCGTCTTATAGAAAATTAATTCATCAATGGGATAAAATTATGTGTTCAGGGCTGAAGATCCGGCCTATCTAGTTATATCAAATCGAAGATCAAAATCAACGAATTTGACTAGCGATCATGTATGGAGAACAATTAACCCACTAGTGATCTGTGGGTATTAAAATACTCTCCACGAAAAATATGAATCTTGAAGAATGTGGTCTTTTTTCAAGCAAAGATGAAGGATAGTTTTTATAATTAATAATAATAAAAATGTGGTATATTTTTATAATGAGATCGCATAATGTGGTATTTAGTTGAATCGGGTAGAATCTGTAATAACCGGTTCACAACAATGAGTCCCATTCCAAAATACAATACCTACAAGCAATTTAGGATAGTTATTATAATTAATATATGTATTATTTTCGGCAGTTTAATTCAAGTTATAATCCTGTTTGAATAAAGGGGGCTTAAGTGGGCTACGATCGGTTTTACATATATATAAGACGCTATATTGTTGTTGAGGAACCAAATTTTAGGCAAAAACAATCAAAGTCAAGTGTTTAAAATAAGCCAGCCAAGTAGAGAATAGATTCATTAACTGGATAAAATTATGTGGGCAGGGCTGAGAGATCTATGTAGCTAGTAATATTCCACGGAATATCAAAAACGAGGAATATGTATAATAGAGCTTGAATTCGTCAGTATATTAACGGTATATTTTTATAATGAGACCGTATAATGTGATATATATCGTAGGGTGGGCACTGCAGCCGGCATATACTGTTGCAAATACCACATAAGATTACCATTGAGGAACCAAAATTGAGGAAAAAGTAAAATTTAATTGTCTACCAGTTCTCAGTTAATCAAGGTGAGTGATTCCTGTGATTACCCATCAACCGCACACCCCTTCCCCTTAGCTGGAGTTGTGATTATTTGGATTTAAGTCGGTGGCCAGAAGGCTGTCTGGAATAGTGAGTGGGTGGGTGTGTGCAGTGTATCCTAAATATATATCCATATATATTTATGTTCACATATATGTATATGTGCATGGTGTGAATGTACAAGAGACAGCTGCTGTGCCGCCTGTGACAGCGGAGCTATGGACGATTTAGATGTTATGGCTATTTTTGTGTGATTCATTTTGTTTGTAAAATTAAATTCATACAAACACGTACATGTGTGTATATGTATGCGCGAATATGTACTTGTGAGGGTGTGTAGATATGCTTTTTTGCGCGTTTTTCGGTGTATTTTTAATGATGATTTCATATCCAATTCCATTTTACTTAACTACAATTGCGCAGATACAAATGTATGTACATTGTATGCAAATTAATTCATTCGTGGATTGTTCTGGTGCATTTTAACCACTCGACTATGACTACTCAGCTGTTCTGTGACTCACGCACACACACACACATAAAGAGTCGTTTCCCCAATTCAATAGTTAACGCAAGCCCAAACCCAACCCTCGGCTGGCTGATGACTCAAAAGATGGCCGTGCTATCAGAAAAGTTTGAAACTAAAAACGGGTGCCGAGATTACAAGCTGTGCATATTGCTGGCTGATTGTACATATGTCTCTTAATGTGGCCTTATAAGGCGGCAGGTTTTATTTTCCAATTAGCAGTAATTTGAGATAGTGCATCCAACTCATACACACAGACTTTAATGCACGCATACGTGGGATAACGGTGCATCTGCTGCAGACATTTAATCTGTTTGGGATTCTAGTTTATAAACGCATCTGCCCCAGCAACAGTAACAGCAACAGCAGAAGCAACAAGAACTAGTATAGTCGCCAGCCAGTTAAGATGCTAAGCAAAAAAAAAAAAAAAACCACTTGCCGGTGCAATAAACTCATTGCGCAGCTGTCGAGGCTCTCTCTCCCTGTTTCTCTCTTTTTGTCTGTCTCTCTTGATTGCACGCTGAGGGGAGCCTTTAATGAAAGCTTTCTCTGCTATTCAAGTCAATGTGCATCTTTTCAGCGTAAGCAAAATCATCTACGCCGAAAGTGAATATTAAACCAGCATTTTCATTGCCATCCAGTTGCTTGCCCGTATTGGTCAAGTCTCCAGTGCCAGGCCAAAATAGGAGAAAATGCACTAATATCTGAAGCTGGAACTGAAATCGCTGCTTATATGAGCTAAACATAATTTGGTTAACAGCACAGGCTGGGCTCGTCCTGTGCACAGTGTATTAAAAACAGGGTTCCGCTCTCTCTATCGCTTTGTGTGTTGTATATGCGGCTGCCACCCACTGAGACGAGACCAAATGTTTGACCATCGTAAGAGCGCTCTCTGGGCATGCCTCACCTTGTATAAATTCATCTTGGTCCTGTGCGTGCGCGTGTGCTCCTTTTAGGGTGTGTTCCGCCGTATGGGTGTGCCGTAACTGTGACTGTATGTGTGTATTTGTGTGTCACTCAGCCCCGCAGTCGTCACTTGACCCACTTGGAGCCCGGAACAGGATCCAGGACATTTTTTATTGGACAAACCTGTGAATAGTGTGTGCTTAATCTGTTAATCTCTCACCTCAAGAAGTGTCGGGTGGAGTCGGTTGAGGTTGAGCGACAGAAAGACGGACTTCATTTATAACAAGAAAGGAGTGACTGGGTGGCTGCCTGGCTGCCTTTTGGTTTCCATTTCTGTGTTCTTTTCTTTGCGGCTTTTGTCGTTGCCTGTCTAACAATTTGTATGGCTGCTGCCACCGCCACCGCCGATGCTGCTGCTAATGCCGATGTTGTGTGACGACCGCTGTGCCGTGTCCGTGTGTCTGAGCATGAGATAAAAAGTAAAACGGAAATTACATAATGTGCTTCAACGTTCGTCTTTAAAGTGAAGACCACCCAACCAACGGCCGCAAAATGTTCTCATGCTGTCGTGCCAACACCAAAGTAAGCAAAAAGGACAAGGGCAGTAAGGCCGAAGAAGAGAATGAGGAGGTGGAAGTGGCCGAAGTGGAATTGCCGGTGTCACCTAACACAACGAACGAAAAGGAGGAGCAACCCCAGCTGAATGGCACTGCAGCCAAGCTTGAAAGTGAAACCGAGGCGGAGCCAAAGCTAGAGCCAGTCTCTGAGTTGGCCAAGGAGGCGAACGATACTGTCGCCCATCAAACAGACCCTCAGCCGAACGATGAAGTTGCCAAATCCGATACTGGTATTAACTTATTCCCTAAGTATACACAACTCTATCTACTCTACCTCTCTCTGTCTCTCGAGAAAAACCGCTGCTCTGCCTCTGTGTGCTCTTTGAAGCACTACAAAGTAATCACACGCACGGCTTTTGTGTACTGCACAGGGTTCAGAGACCTCCGCGGCCTGGACATGGGCTCTCAATCACTGCGGCTGACCAGCCCAGCCCAGCCCAGAGCTTCGTTCTCGTTCATTTATTTTCCTTTTGATTTTGAACCACTTTATGCTGTTTTTAGTTGTACTCTCTCTTGTTTCTATGTGCATATAAAGAATATCGAGGAATAGTGCCGATTCATTACCTGGTAATGACTTTTCAGACATGAACATCAATCAAAGTATATGTATGTACGTACACTATGTGGATGTATCACCAGACCCGATATAAACTATAAAAATAGATTATAATTACAATTTAAAGGCGATAAATGTTTGCAGTTATCGCATCGCATTACAGCCAGGAAATATCCATTTATGAAACGATGTAATATGTTTGTATATCGGCTTAATTCCTTGATATTCGCTTGCACAACTTAATCTTCTTGAGGAGTAATCTTGAGCAACGTTTTCACAGTCATTGTAGACGATATAGCTGCACCAGCATCCACAGAAAAAGAAGCAGCTAGTCCATCTCCACCATCGCCCGTTCTGCAACTTTCGGTCCGCTCAACGCACTCGTCGACATCTACGGCCCCACCCGCATCAATGACCAGCGCCGGTGCGGAGGATGAGGATGATGTGGTTGTGGCGACGGTCACACCGACGACGCCGCCACCTCAGCCACCGCCCACAAAGAGCTGCCTGTCGCGCCACAATTCCACACACCAATCCATCAAGAAGAAGGTGAACATAAGCAACCGGGCGGAGATCATTGAGCCGGAGCCGCTGCCACCGCTCATGTTGACCAATCACAATAACAACAACGGCTCGCTGGCCGACGACGATGAGGTGTTCTCCGACTCGTTGCCGCCGCCCAAGCGTGAGAGCATGTGTGCGCCGTATATCGAGGGGGATCTGGTGTCGGAAACGCTCGCCTTTGCCCACGGCCTGCCCGTCTGGTTCGAAGACGAGCGCCTCAATGAGATGTATGCTTGTTGTTCAATCCTTGTTTAGTTAGCCCATACGCGTTCTCTGCGTTTCCGTTTCGACTGTTTCACTGTACACTCTGTTGTCCTCTGATCTCCTCCTTCCATGCATCTAGGGGCTGCATCGAGCCGCCGGTCACTCCAGTGGGACGCGATGAGCTGGAGCTGAAGCGCCAACGCCTGTACACGGAGCTCCTGCGGGCCGCCCACGCGGCCGTCGAGCACAGCGTGGCCGTGCGGGGTATGATGATAGCTTCGTTCTGTTCTTTGGCTCAGCTGTAACCGAAATTACTTGACTCGGTTGGATTAATTTACGGATCACATGCGATTTGCCATTTGTGCGGAATCAGTTAAAGGTTTTCCTTAATTTTCGATGATAAACCGCTTATATCAGCATATATCCTAGAATTAAACTTAAATCCCAGTCAAGTAACTTTGAATATCGGTTTTATAACTCTTGTTCTCTTTCTCTCTTGTTCTTTCGTTCTGTTTTGTCTGTTTGCTGTTTGCCTAGTGTTTGCATGTGACATTGTCGATCTTTGATTTTTATACCCTTGCAGGGGATATTATATTATATTACTCAGAAAAGATATAAAATGGTTTCAGGGTCCATAATGTCTGTCTGTACTCCGCCAATATTGGAGCAAAAAATTAGGGTATTATCCTTCAATAGCTCTCCCAAATCCAACCGAAATCCAACGTTTTTTTTCTGCAAGGGTATCCGAAAGCTTCGGTATCCGAAGTTGGTCTTTCTTTCTTGTTCCTTCTCACTTTGAACTTGTTGGCCGACACTTTGATTTATTACATTTCCTAATTGATGTTTATTAAGTGCACAGCTCATGGACTTTTTCTGTTGTAGTCCTGCATCACCATCTTCATCATTCCAGCGATCACTCATTCTCAGAGACGTTTCTCGATGACTTTTGATTTGTACCGTAATGTTTTCGATAGCGATTTGTTTTGTGTGCACGATTTATTGGGGGAACGGACTCCATCACTATCTTTTCTCTGTGTGAATATTATACGTATAGAGTTCAATGTTCTTAAGGCACTACTTTTGATTAAAGAGAAAGAAATGGTATAGTTTGTCATTACAAAAGAATTCTTCCCTTCTAATCAGAAAACGAGCCAGACGCTAAGCCATCCGCTGCTGTCGGACATTTGGAGAGCATTTGCGAACGCTTGGAGACCCTAGTTGATCGCTTGGAGCGTACATTGATCGCGCCACAGCCGCAGCTGCAGCCCCAGCCCCAGCCGGAATCGATTGAATTGCCCCCGCCACCACCCCCACTACCAGAAGCTGAAGAAGCTCCCCCAGAAGACTCTCAAGCCGAAGCACCTCCACCGCCAAGCAGCAGCATGAGTGTCGCCGGATTCGAGGACATCGTTGCGGGCCCGCTGAGCAAATACCTGACTTTGTCCGCTAAAATTGGAGGCGATGTGGCCCAGCATGCCGATCTCGTGAGGAGCGCCTTTGGGTGAGTCAACAAAATGAGTCATCTCGATTTATGCTCAATTCGTTGTCTCTGTAACAGCCTCCAACAGCAGTATGTGACTCTGGCCACGCAGATTGCCCAGCCGGCGCAGCCAAAGCAAGCGGAACTGTTGAAGCCAACGTCGACGCAGATCAGCGCCATTCAGGATTATCGGGAGAAGCATCGTACGTCCCCGTTTTTCAATCATCTGTCCGCCATTAGCGAGAGCATTCCCGCTCTCGGCTGGGTGTGCGTCGAGAAGACTCCCGGGCCGTATGTGAAGGAGATGAACGACGCCGGCCAATTCTACACGAATCGTGTACTGAAGGAGTGGAAGGAGAAGGACAGCACGCACGTGGAGTGGGCCCGCTCCTGGGTACAGACGCTCACCGAACTGCAGGCCTACATCAAGCAGTACCATACCACGGGTCTAGTGTGGTCCGGCAAGGGAGCCGCCCCGTCCGGCGGAGCCCCCCCACCGCCACCACCCGGCGGTCTGCCGCCACCACCGCCTCCATTAGACTTGAGTGCGCTGAAGCTCGACAGCGGCGGCGATGAACGCAATGCACTGTTCGCTCAAATCAATCAGGGCGCTGACATCACCAAGAGTGAGTACGAGTTGTCCAGTCTTTTAGGATTGTTAATCAATCTTTTTCTTTCGGCTCGCCACTGAACAGACCTGAAGAAGGTCACTGGGGATATGCAGACCCACAAGAATCCCTCACTGCGCACTGGACCGGCACCGTTCAAGACGCCAGCCCAGTCTGGCTCGTCGGCTGCTCCCTCAGCTCCCGCTGCCACCAAGGCCCCTGTCTTCACACGCGATGGCAAGAAGTGGCTGATCGAGTACCAGAAGAACAACAGCGGCCTGCTGGTGGACAACGCCGAGATGAACAACGTTGTGTACGTGTTCCGCTGCGAGGGCTCCACGCTGACGGTCAAGGGCAAGGTGAACAACATCGTGCTTGATTCGTGCAAGAAGTGCTCGCTGCTGTTCGACTCGGTGGTGGCATCCGTGGAGTTTGTCAACTGCCAGAGCGTCCAGATGCAGGTGCTCGGGTTTGTGCCGACGATTTCCATCGACAAGAGCGACGGCTGCCAAATGTATCTGTCCAAGGATTCGTTGGGCGTGGAGATTGTGAGCTCCAAGTCTTCCGAGATGAACATTCTCTTGCCCGATGATAGCGGCGACTATGTAAGTCTAAAAAGAATCCGAATCACTTGAAAATAGAAGTAAATTATATTATTTTGTGCATTTTGCAGACCGAGTTGGCTGTACCGGAGCAGTATAAGACCACCATTGCTGGCAAGACCCTCAAGACTGTGTGCGTGGACAGCCTCGGCTAATGTGGTAATCTGCTAGGGTCCATCAGTTGCTTTTCCAGCTATTATCAACAGCATTGGCCAGACCACATGGCAATCATATGTGTATTTAATATTAAGCGCAAAAGTTTTCGTAATTCAGAAATTTTAAGATCAAACCCTTTCGTACAGAAATCGTTGCCAAACATTGCTATCATGGTACTTGAAATGGCCTAATGAAAGTAAAGTATTTATATATGTTTATGTCAATGGAAAAGCGATGAACCGAACCGAACCCAATGTATTTATATATCGAGAGTATGAGTGTGTAACGAAACTAAGCACGAGATTCGAACCTTTTAAGCAGACTCTTCATTTGATCGTCAGAAAAACTCTTTTTATATTCTATTTAAATACAATTTAAACATTTTTTATCAAATAAAAAAGGAGAAAAGAAAGCGTTTTATTTCTACATATACAATTACAATTGTTTTAAGCCTGGATCTGGAGGAATGGCTGGTAATACTTGGACCCTATATCTTCTTGTACTCGATTCGCTCCACCTTGACCTCGTCGCCAATCAGCTGATAGACGTAGGTCACCACCGTCGTGCTCTGGATGTCCATCAGCACGAATGAGGGCACTACATTAGTGTCCAGCGGATTGAAGGCTCCCGTTGCCGAGCCTGGATTGATGTAGAACTTATTGCCGTGCTCGTACGCCTCGAACTTGTACGTGTGCCCCGTTATCAGTATGTCCACATCCAGCTGACGTTGAATCAGCGCCAGGGCCTCTGGATCTCCCCGCGGCACCACCTGATGGCCATGGCAGAGGCCGATGCGGAATTGGCCCACAGTCACCACCTTCTGCTCCGGATAGCTGAGATTCTCGTCAAAGTCACCGCGTACTATATGCACATCGTTGGCCAGCGACTTCAGATAGTCGTAGGACTCTTTTGTGCAGATGTTGCCGGTGGCCAGTATGTGGTGGATCCGTCCCGGTACCAGGAGTTTCTTGAACTTGTACGGCAGGCTGCTGCAGCGATGCGGGATGTGCAGATCCCCGAGTACCAGAACGAGCATCGTATCCTTTGTTTTTCCCTAAAATTGTGGTGAAACGCCCAGAGATTTGGTGAAACAGCAGTGTGACCAGGTCGACTAAATTGCTCTTGAAGTGCGAATCGCGATAGTACCAATCGCGTCACAACTATCGATGGAGCCGGAGCAAGCTGCAAGCACCGAGAGTACGTTCTTGAAATAAATTAAATATCTCGTATTTTATGGATCTCTTACAGCCGAGTCCGGTATTGACCTGTTGGTCATCGTGCTGGACACGAACCCATCTCAGCACATTGTCCGCCAGAACCCGCAGAACCTTACACAGATCCTGGAGGCGGTGATCGCTTTTGGCAATGCGCATCTCATGCAAAAGGCTCAGAACAAATTGGCGGTCATATCCTGCGCCCATCACGCAACGTAAGTGGTGTGTAGTTTAGTCCAAACTTGCTATTGACCAAGTTTTTCTCTCGCAGAAATTTCCTCTACCCACAGCCAAGGCGTCAGGTGGAACTTCGCCAGATCGACGGCCAGTACGAGGCCTTCAGCTTGGTGGAGAAGACGGTGAAGCAGCAGCTGGGCAGCATTCTGATGAATGCGCCTCGCCTTGGTTCACCCTGTGAGAGCCTGCTGGCTGGCAGTATGGCCATGGCCCTTTGCTACATATCAAGAGTGAGTAGATCTGAGCTTTAAAGACAACTAATCCAATCCGAATTTGGTTTCGTTTCAGTTGCAACGGAATGTGGCCGCCGGCGTAAAGATGCACTCTCGCATCCTGGTGCTGACGGGCAGCAATGAGTGCTCCTCCCAATACATGACGTTCATGAATGTCTTCTTTACCGCACAAAAGCTTGGCATTACAATTGACACCTGCGCTTTGGATAAAACCCTAAGCCTGCTGCAGCAAGGCTGTGATATCACCACGGGCCAGTTCCTAAAGGTCACCCAATTGGATGGCCTGCTTCAGTATCTACTGTGGGTGTTTCTGCCGGCACCGCAGATGCGTCACAAATTGGTATTGCCGCCACCGCCAAAGGTTGACTATCGCGCCTCCTGCTTCTGCCATCGAGAGCTCATCGACATTGGCTACGTCTGTTCCGTTTGCCTATCTGTGTTCTGCAAATATAGCCCCATTTGCACCACATGCCAGTGAGTATGAATGGCTTTTTTTTCCTGACTGATGGTACAAGTCATATTTTTATCTTTAAAGCACAATTTTCAAAACTCCGGGACCACTGCCTGTAAAGGGCAAAAAGAAAAAAAAGGATAAACAAATGTAGCTGCCACCACGGTAAATATACATTAGGATTGGGTCGCAAAGGAATTCGATGCTCCTTCATATTTTATAACTCAAATCCCATCGCATTCAAAGATGAAAACTCGTTCCATTTACGCCTCAGTTTCTATTCAGGAACATACATTTTCATACATTTCTTGTAATTTTACTAAAATACATTGGGCCAAAGTTTGCTGGCAGATAGGGTATCACCATTTGTCCATATTTGAGACCCTTGGGATGCTCAAACTTGAAAACATCCGAAAAGAGCTCCGTGTGTCGGCTCAGATCTTTGATGGTGGCAGTGATGCCATGTTCGACGAAGACCTTCTGCAGGGCCATGTGGACCACGCCATCGTTTTGAATGGGAGATAGCGAGCATGTGGAGTAGACGAGGCTGCCGCCGGGTCGAAGCAGGCGCAAGCAGTTTGTCAAAATGCCCGCCTGGAGCTCGGGTATGCGCAGTCGCTCCTTAATACGCGACGGCTTGAAGATGTTGTTGTCCTGCTCCATGACCACATGTCGATCGGTGGTGCAGGGCACATCCACCAGTATTTTGTCGTACTGCTCGTACTCGTCTAGATTGCGTGCATCACTCTGGCTGAAGATCAGATGCCTTGCTGCCGACCGCTGCTTGTAGTCAAACAGGAACTCCTGCATGAGTCGGCGCAGTCTGTTCAGTCGCGACTCCTGGATATCGTTGCACACCAGTTGGTCCAGATGCAGTGTCTGCAGCAGCAACAGGGACTTGCCACCCGGCGAGGCACAGGCATCTAACACCCTTTCGCCGGGTTGCACCTGCAGGAAGAGTGGGGGCAGGGTGGAGGCGCCATCCATCAGGAAATGAGAGGAGACGCCCGTGAGGCATTTCTTCGGGGCCTTGAAGTCCGAGCAGTTTCCCATCTCGTAGGTGTAAAGGGCCAAGTGTTCGGGAAAGTGAAACGAAGTTTCCGGCTCTATCCTGAGGGGAAAGTCCGCACTGGTCTGATAGTATTTGTAGTGCTCAGACTCTGCCACCCAGTCCTCCATTCCCTTGATGCTGTGCGCAGGCATATACTCGTACAGGCCGCCGGTGCCGAACTGAGGATCGACTAGGCGGTGCTCATCCAGTTTAACATCTTCCTCCAGCGCTTTTGTCAGGCTCTGCTTAAAGTCCGGCGACTCTGTTTGTGACTCCTCCTTTTCCTCGACATTGTCGTACTTCAGTTGTTGTGGCATCTGAACAGCCGCGCCACCCTCTCCAGCGCTGGGATAAATCGACGCCACCTCGCGTTCCTGTTGCTTTCTCAGCAAAGCATCAAGTTTGTCGTCTATTTCGTAACGATTCTGGCCCTGGCCCTTCAGCGCCGGGTCTGTCCCCTGAAGACGTTCCTGAGCCAAATTGATGAGGGACTTCATGTTGATGGCCCCATCCGTTTCCAGCATGCTGCAGGTCTGTTCCGTGTCCCCGAAATTGTTCACCATAGCAATGTACTTGTGCCTCGTGAGCAACGCGGCTCGCATGTTCTTCCACCGTCCGCCGTACACAGAGCCGTAGAAGTCATCGAAGCTTTCTAAGGCCCGGTCGCAGTTGTTTTTCTTGTTCTGCAGGACATTCCATCGCTTCTTCCCTCCACTTTTCCAGCGTCGCTGCAGCCAGCAAATGTTGCGTAGGATCAACATTTTTTATCAATCAAATCAACATTTTTTATCACATACCTTTTCACCGTATATTTACGGTATATTTTAAACTGTGACGTATTTTCCGTATATTTCTGAGTGTCTGGCCGTATATAGTTTTTATCGTTAAATCCGCGGTCACACTGAAAAAGCCGCGCGTCATCAGAAATTCAAAAATTATTGTAAATTTGGAAATAAAAAGATTGGGAACTGCTGCAATGAATCAATTGAACCAATTCCACGCGCCCTCGTTCGGAGATGATGCCATGCCAACGGAGCCCCCCAACCATGCTGTAAGTGACACGGATAGATAGAGAATAGTAGACAGCGAGCGCCCAGGTCCCAGAACAAACTAATAGCTGCACACAGGCTTTACAGAGAGAGTTTTTACAGCTGAGTACTTCCACTAAATGATGAGCATCGATGTCATTAATGGTTTTATAATGAACGAAGCGCGGAGATCGGAATCGCACACATTGGGGTCGCGCTGCCACTGTAGTCGTACCTCCCAATCGCACCCGCACGTCTAGCCGTTCGCTGGGTACCAGCTGGACGATTCCTCCAGCACTCACACAAGCAAACCCACAGAACACACCAATGCACAGAGCTCCTCCACCCGAACGGACGGAATCGCTATAGCTAACATAGGCTATGTTATCGATACAAAGCAGCCGTAGCAGCAGCAGCAACGACCACATAATCAGCAGAAGCAGGGCAGGTCGACCCAACGTCCTTACCACATACTCCTCCGCTTCTCCCCGCTGTGGGTGCACAAGCACAGGTAGCTGGGCTTGGCGGCGGCGGCGGGCGAGCGAATCGGTCTCTCTGCTCCTCAGATGAAGAAGTTCCTAGTTAGAGAGCCGTCTTGGGGGTTTAGCATTAATAAAATGATTAACCTAACGCCAATGCTTTTGTTTTCGTTGCAGTCGCAGAGACAGCTCAGCCTGGATCATTCCACGTTCATTAACGACGACGAGGAGAATGGCGACACGTATGGCGGCGGCGGCGGGCACAGTATGATGAAGCAGCTCGAGCACGAGAATCAACATCAGATGCTGCCACAGCTGTCGCCAGCTCCACAGCAGTCGCAGCAGCAGCCGCAAGTGCTGGCACAAGCTCCGTCAAAGCCTCTGGCATCGTTTGCCCTGTTTTTCCGGCATGCTCCCTCGAACAGATATCCGTCATCATCCACACCATGTGGGAATCTCTGGACGAGACGCAGAAGAACGTGTATACCCAGCGGAACGAGCAGGAGAAGCGCGACTTTGTGCGCAACATGCGCGACTATCGCCAGCAGTTGTCGGAAACAGAAATCCCTCCGGAGATTGGCAGCAGCATGCCAGATGCTGTCGCTTCTGTGCCGGCGATTCAAACGATTGATCTGATCTCGCCAAAAACTGGAATGAGCGACGAACAAACGACACCGTTGGCCACAGCCACCGTAGAACCTCCCGAGCAAATTTAGTTGCTCACCGAGGCGGCCCAGGCGCCAAAGTGCACGCGGGAGCAGTGCAACAAGCCGGACTGGGAGGATGAGTACTGCAGCAACGAGTGAGCGGTCATCCACTGCCGGAACGTTTTCAGCTCTCATTGAAGAGCTCTCCGACCTATGTGCACCGACTGAAACACCCAACTAAGATTAGTCTTATAGTTTAGTTCAAATCTACCAAATTGCATTGCTCCCTCGCGTGCTGACGTCGTGCCCCCATCAGCTGTTACACGTCTGGGGCGTTGCCAGCCTCGATAAAAACGAATTGCTGCAAACGCTGATGCATGCATGCCCCTAATTGAGGGGGAATACTACATATATACGTGCGTGTCATGGCCCCTCGCAAAAACCACAACTACACTACACAACTACATACCTAGTTTTCTCGGCTACTTGTAGCACGATCGGGACGTGCGACGGCTTCCTGTGATCGGAAAAATGTTCCTGATTTGATGGAGTCCTTATCAAGGAGCAAGGATATTTTCCCCAAACAAAAATATGTAATTTTCTCCGCTTTTCTGATCGGTATAGTTTCCCCGATGCAGCATACAGCATGGATGATTTTTCAACATTTATTTTCATCATATCTTAGCTATGTATAAATAAATAAACAAGTGGAAAACATAGCGATATCTATATAGAGTCTATAGTCAAAGTTCTTCTTGTCGATGGTCAGGTCGAAGGATAACGATGGCTTGTTAGGTTCCAATCTTGCTAGGGCTGCGCTTCTGTGCTGCTAGGATACGATTCTGTCTGGCTGGGACAGGACTCGGTCTGTCTCGCATACGCCTCGTCTTGCCTCTCGTGGACGTGATCCAACAATTCCGCCGTCGATCATTGACCTCTGCTGCAGCGGACGGGACGCCACATTCTCGACTCAGCGACACAGCAGCGTCTTCATGGCTATGGCCCGCAGCAGGACACGCAGTGGCTGGGACTGTCCAGCCAGGAGCACATCCCATGGACCAGCCGAGAGGACGAGGAGCTACGGCGGAATCACCCGCGGAGGAGGTACCGACGGTGAGCGGACTGGAAAGGCTCAGAAAACAGCGGGGATGCAAGGAAGAGGGCCATGGCTGTGGCCGGACCCAAAGGTCGCCCAGCCAAAGTCCACAGCCTCGCTCGACAGGAATTATGTCCCTAGGAACGCATGGCATCGTGGCCCCATGCGCAGCAGCCGACGGGGAGGTTGCGACGTCAGCTGGTCAAGCGCCTCGAAAGAACAGCTGGCATCGAGCGCACACTCGCTCATATGAAGACATACCGGCATATCGGTGTCCGCGGGCACGCAAAAGGTATTGCTGAATGAAAATTAAAGGAAGAGTTGAATAAAGTAAATGAATAACTTTACCTGTCGGGGTAAGAGGAGGAGATTGCGTGGTAAGAGGTAAGAGGATCAAATATAATGATGAATCTGCCACATGTTCCCATAAGATTGAAGTCCGGTTCGAAGCGAATAAATCCTAGTATATGGCGTTGCACAAAAACGGATCTAAAATAGCAATATACTCGAACATTAGATACACTAACGTTTATGGGTAGTTTTTTTTAGCCAATTAGACCAGCGCAAAGAACAGTATTTAGTCACTTTCACTACGACATCGCTTTATTTGTAGATAACTTTTGAATCATGAGTGTTAAGTACAATAGGCGGGCTGAAGTGTTTCCATCTTTGAGGCATGGAGGTACAGATACTTAGGGATACAGCAAACTAAAAGCTATAATTGGTAATTTGTAATTGGTATATACAGTCCAGGCAGGGTGACGTGACCATTCGGTGCTTGCTCTGTTCAAAAGTCATCTGAGTAGGTTGAAATCGATCCTATCGTCGAGAGATTACGCTCGTATGGCCTTGTGGACTTAGGGCTTCGCAGGTATGTCCTTCAATGGGGTCTTCTCATCCTTGGCCTCTGGATCCTTGGGGGATCCAGACTTGTTCCACGGCTGTTCACTTCCAGAGCCGAATATAACAAAGACCAGGAATTCCAGGGTGAACAGGACAATTGTCACACCAAAGATGATGCGCCAGGCTGAAATATTTTGCTGTAAAATAGGAAAAGGTAAGCAAATGATCCAGTAATACGAGTATGCAATTTCTTCCACTTACATTGCCATGGGTGACGAAGCCCACGAAGAGGGGCACTATAATACCCGGCAAAGTCGCCGCCGTGTTGGTCAAAGCCACCAAAGTGCCAGCAAAGTTAGGGGCAATGTCGATGTGATTGGAGAGGAATCCGGAGAACATGGCGCCCATGGCCACAATGCCCACAGACATGACGGTGACGGCTTCGTAGTGATGGCAGCCGATATAGCAGAGGATCAGGAGACAAATACCCGGAATGATCGTGCAAATGGAGGTGGCCGTCTTTCGGGCAATGGTGGTGCTAATCTTACCTGGAAATTAATCAGACCAGAAGAGGATCAGAATGAGAACGGAATGGAATCGTAGATCAAACTCACCCTTCGACTGGAGAGTGTCCAAAACCTTGCCGAGGACGATACTGAAGATGATCATGGGGAAGTAGGGGAGGGCGCTGAGCGCCGCATTGCTCGCCACATTGAACTTGAGCACCTGCTTCATGTAGAATGGGATTTCGATGAGGAACATGTACCAGCCAAAGTTGTTGCAGGTATGCGCAATGAGGATGGCCCAGAACGGAATCGACTTGAAGACCTTGCCCCATGGCACTGCTGGATGGTGTTCGACCTTCTGCTCAGTGCCCAGCGAGCTGGTGATCATCTGACGTTCCTCGGCGCTGATGAAGCGCTGCTTATTGGGATTGTCCTGAACCAGCACAGTCCACAGTAGCATCCAGATGCAACTGAGGGCACCCATTACATAGAACACCGATTCCCAGCCCCACTGGGCGGACAGGACGCCGGCGAGAAGGATGGACAAGGCTGTTCCCGCAGAAGTACCCACATAGATGATCGTGGACATGACCATGCGCTCGGTTGGCGGTGCCCACGAGGCAATCATCACGTGCATGGCCGGGAAGGAGGCTCCTCCACCAATACCCTCGAGCACACGCATCAGGATCAGGCCACCGTAATGCATTTCGGTGAAGACTGGCGTCAGCAGGGTGCACACCACATTGATGGCCACCGAGAACAGCATCACCCACTTGGCCGAGAAGTTCTCGGCCACATGGGCCAGCGGAATCTGCGACACGAGATAGCCCCAGAAGTAGCAGCTCAGCAGGGTGCCCTGCAGGGGTTCACTCCATGTAAATGGTCCGTCCTCCACCTTGGCCGTGACATTGGTAGCGCCACCCGGCGGCGAGCAAGTCTCCACTAAACTATCGGCCTCCCTTGTCCCATTAAAGAGGGTTACGGATCCGGAAACGCTGCCATGTCCTATATCGTTAAGTTCCTTGATGGCCGTGTGGTTCACCATGGCAACCATAGCCACACTGAGATTCACCTTCAGGCCATAGACGATGGCCATGCCAATGGATCCAAGCAGCGCCAGCACATAGCGGGCGGGCACAAGCTCTGCAAAGAGAAAATGTAATAATAGTATGTATATATAGAAGGGATATATCTGAAGTTATAGCGATCCCAACCTAATGTTTTCCATAATTTTTAGCGTTACTTTAACTTTGAAAATGTTTTAAATGTTTAAATTTCTTTAAGAAGTAACTCTTTATTCGCATCTGATTAGTGCCACAAGCCACTTGGTTAATGCATCGATATTGATTATCCGATGTTCGACCAGTTCCTTTTAGCACTACCAGACTTAAAACCAATTAAGTGAATTAAGTTCTTAGGTTCATGGATACAAGTTGCATTCAAACTTTATGGATATTACAACTTGCTATTACATAGCTCTCTTTGGGGGCACACTATATAGAAGTAAAGTACTGCTATCAAAGCATTCCTTAAAAATCCGGAATAGTGTTCACGGCACAGATATAGATATGACACATGGCAGTGGAACCAATAACCTGGGGCCCAGGTAACGGTAATGGTAATGGTAATACCAGCCAGACACGAGTTCTTCTAATAGCCAGCCCCTGATTAGTGACAGTTGGGTAGGGGCAGGTCAGTATACAGCGTGTAGGGGGCCGCCACGCGCATCGATACACCTTGATGGTGGTGCGATGTCTGGCAATTAAGTATATGCGTACGCTCCCACAGATAACAAACTGTATAAATTTATGGTCTTTATTTTCAATTTCACTTTCATGGCTGTCAGAAATTTGTCTTGCGATTACATACATATTTATGTGTGCTAATTGTTATTCGTTGTATTGGTATTGTGGCCATAAGTTGTGTAATGTCTGGGAAATACTCTCACGTTTGTTCCTTAACTTATCTTTATTTTGCTTTTGACTCGAACTTTTATTAGAAGAGCATTTGAACTTCGTTGTGCATTCATTTCTTCGCTGCTTAATCTTTGTTTGCTCTTGGTTGAACGACATAAATTATCAATTGATTGTTCATAGATTCCCTCGTATTGCTATATTTACTTGCTCGTCTGGTTGTGTTGGGTGCGGTCTGGTGTGGATAAGTTAAAGCGTTTAGGATTAGAAGAAGGCACAAAGGCAGACTGATCCAATGGCTAGACCATCTTTCAAAATATGTGATAATTTCTTAAATAGCTGCGAAAACTCACAAGATTATCTAAGAACATGTGAACAATTTTCAAAATATTTATGAGCGAAACGGGTGCACATAGACGAATTCACAAATTTACCATTTCTGTGATAAGAACTCTTATAATTTTGCTGTATTTTTTATTGTTATAAAATTCGATTAGATTCGTTTATCGTTAGGTCCCGCTGGAAAGGCCGAAAAATAGGCGTACTATTCTGCATTGTTTGTTTCGAGTAAACATTATTATTTGCATATTCAAACGCTTGGCTAACTTTGACGAATGTTTGCCTCAAGCATATTGTTGGGATAGGCTATATATACATCCATACACAAATGATGTATGTATGTCTGTACCGATTACGTCGGAAAAATCATAAATGTGGCGACAGTTTGTCTTCAGAGTTTGGTGTTCGGAAAATACCAACAGAAGTGTATATTTAAGAATAAAGATATATATTCTATCTGCAAGTATTGTTTATATCTTTGACTTCCATGTGACCTTGCCCGGACAGCAGTAGGTAGTCCGCAAAAGAAGACGAGACCGAGCCTGGGCATAAAAACGCCAAAAACAAATCAAATATGCTGTGACCAGGGCTAACGGGGGGGGCATCTAAAAAAAGCCGCTCCGACCTGAACCTGAAGGATATCACAAGCACACACACACACACGCATATGTATACCCAGGAAGTTATCCATGGGACTCACGCACACTCGAACGACCTTTCGGCCGGCTTTGAGGTCAAAGTTTGTTCTTGGCCTTGCATTTCGCACAACTGGCAACAATTTTCGTCATCCGCACACACTTGTTGCACTTGCACTTGCATTTGGCCAAAATAGCTGCATATGGCAGATGCACACCCAAGAACCAGATGGAACCCCAGGCCCAGGCATCATCCCCCAATCATATACACACCCACAAGCCCGTATGACACTTACTGCCCAATATGCTGCCTTTGGCAGGCACTTCCTCCGTCATTTTGTGTGTTGCAGCAGCTGGCGACCCGAAAAATGTGTGATTTGTTTATGCAAACAAATGGAAATAGATCCGAATAGTTGTCAGGTTTTTAGTTGGTTATACGCGGCGACACCAAGCCCAACCAAATCGAATTCGAAGCAAAGCTATACTCGCGGGCACGTGCGTTCCCTGAAACAGTTGCTCTCCAACTGAGGCGGCAAGCTGGAATGCTCTTAGGTTTTGTGCGTCGTCCCCCGAATATTTTGAGTTTCGTTTGGAGAACAGAACAGGCATTTCTCGCTATAGATATATGTATGTATGTATACTGCGCGTTTGAATGGTGTTTGCTTCTGCTTTGGCCCAGTGGTGGCGGTTCTCGGATTTTGGGATCTTGTTCTCATGGACTGTACTGGAGTCTTGCCTGTCGGCTGGCGCGAGGGTTCGGCTGGGGCTCGGGTACGAACTGGCGCCGAAAGTTGATGTCGTCATGCTTGAATATCTTGAACATTCGGTCGTCATGCCTCTGGCTGTGGCACGGCACGGATTTCGTTTGGCTTTCATTCGATTGCATCGACGCTGAATTACGGTGGGGTCGTGTGGCGTCGTGCTTTTTGTCAGCACACTCCCCTTCGCATTTCGTGAATTTCAAAATGATTCATGAGTGGGTCAACATCACCTGTGTATTTTTAAAGTTGGTTTTTCAGTTGGAGGGAGGAAGTCTCTTTGGCTATAATATTTATAATCTTGGAACACTTAAATAAACTAGCATTTGACAATAATTGATAATTAAATTAAAAGTAGTAGTGCTATTAAAAGTAGGCCGTGTTAATACTCCAGTATTTCTTTTAGGCAATTAAAAATAGAACGAAAGATCTGTTTGTGGGAATAACATACTTTCGACGTTGACATGCAATTACTGCACCGGGTCCCACGCAGAAACAGAGCCGACCGAGGAGCGCTGCCGCATGACGCGCGAGGAGTATAACCGAACCGGTCGCAGGAAAGATAGATGTTAGATTGAAGAGGAGTTGGTCGGTGAAAATTATAACCAAACCTAAAGGAACTACCCGAGGCTAAGTTTGTTTCTCTCTGGGTTTATGTACGTACGTATTGCATATAAATTTAAAAAAAAAATAGGGTTTTGGGTCTGTGTTTATATATATATAATATAAGTATCGACAATCAATTCAATTACCCGCCTCTGTCTCTGCACCTGCCTCAATTCAAACCCAAATCCAAACCAACAGCAATATACATTTGTAGGTATGTACATATATAGGCTCCTACACCTGAATGTGTGGTGGTGTGTGATTGTTATAACCGTACCGTATACAAAACCGATATTAAACATGCAAAACGCGTGCATAAAATTAGTATAAACCTGGCAAACCGAACTAGACCCAATAGCCCATCAAACCAAACCGAAAGCCCAACTCAAATGTATTAAAAATATTTTGTTATTTGTTTTTCTTTCTCTAATTCCATTTTTATATCGATTCAGTTGTTTTTCAGACTCGTGCCTCAGCAGTTTATTAGTAAAAACTAATTCATATTTGGGAAGTTAATTAACGTCAATATTGCAAATTTTCCAAAGTTCCAGTCTCATGATATGAGGTGTGAAATCGAGCAACCCGTGAGGGGACAATCGCTAAGACAAATGGTTCCTATAAAAAGCGGGCCGAACGAATATACATATATGTAACTGAGGGAGAGTTGGTGTAAAGTGGACAATAAACTGATTGGATTTAATGTTATTGAGGTCTGAGAAACTGCCCTAATATGTTAGGGTACTTAGGTCTTGATAGCTAAGAATTTTCAAAAGAAAGCCTGGCACTCAAGAACTTCAGAAGTTTATATTTCGATGATAAACCAATTTCGAAGACAACTAATCACCTAAAAAAATAAACATCTTTGCTTTATTTACTCAAAAATAAATTGAAATTTCCTGTTTTCTTAAACTTTCTGAACTTAAATGTCTTTACATTTGCTGCCATTATTTTCTGGTCACTGCTCATTTGTTGATATAATATGCAAATTCTGCCCCACCTCCGAGCTCGAGATGCTCCATATTCCTGCCACTACCACTGCCTCTGCTTCAAGCCCCAATGCCCCCTGCAGTCGTTATCCATACACACGCCCCCCATACATACTAATGCCCGCTTCCCTTTTTTTTTTGTTTTGTGCTTTTGTTTTTGCTATTTTCCCTGTTGTTTGGTTTGCATTTATTGTATTTTCCTTGGCCATATGGCAAATTGGGGTACATACGCTGACGCTAAGTGTATGTAACATTTTGCAACAGAAAAATGAGCTACCGAGAACTTCCGATTAGATATAGGTACATGTGTCTGTACCCGAGGAAAACATATGTTGGTTTTTTTGTTAACTCGAATTCTGATTCTTGTCCCACTCCCAAATTACATACATAGATATATATATGTAAATTTGCACGTATAATAAAAACATCTTTTCATATACTTTTGTACCGATACTATTTTCGAAATTTATTGAAATCTAACCAGTTGAAATATATAACTTTATTAGCTTTGATGTGAAATCCTATTAAAATAAGCCAAAGTTCGCATTTCCGATTTCTTTTATTGGTTTTTTTATAGACACGTTTTCCCTTACTATAAGAAAAATGATTCTTAATACAAGTTTTTTCTCAAACATATTGAACTATCTAATAAAAATGCCAAACAAATTTTCCCAATCTCGGCTAACGGTATATTTTGTAACGCCTATTACCCGGGAATTTGGTAACGTAGTGCCAGCACCGTACGTCAGATGCCTTCGCGATGCCACTAAATATTCCATATATATGCATCAAATATGTTATATAGATAGTGCTATCCCATTCGCTGAGTTTTGCAATTTTGTAACCCAACCTCCAAATCCACTTCTGTTTTTGGTATTTTGGTCAATATCTTGCAAAAGTGTGCACTTAGAGAGTAACTTATCGTCAGAAGACTTACGTTTCCATTTTCACGTAATCACAGTCCACCGTTCCTATATAAATTTATACAGGTTGCATCCCTAGGTATTCATATCTCTGATCTGCCACTTCCAGAGTTCTCTTGTTATGTTTTATTTGGTTATTTATTTATCCAACTGTTTATCGCATTGTCTATGGCTATGACAAGAGCCTTCTGGCGGTTTACATAAAGTTGGACCTCATTTTTCAGTTTCTGCTTCTGTTTTTAGTCCCACTGCCACAATGGATGTCATGGATGCCTGGTTTGGTCGGAAGGTCGGTTGCATCGTTGTCATTTGGATCTGCATGGAACATTAAATAAAAGAGTAACAACAAAATGTTCTCTAGGCTAGAACGAAGCACAGGAATTTGGTTCGTTGTTGGGGTCTGATGATGAAACCTCTGTGACACAGCATTCGGTTGATGTCAACGAGTACTCGTGTGCGGAGACCAATTGGTTTTTATTTAATTTTTGCACACACTTCACTGGATAGACCATGCCCCCCCCCACTGCTGCTTTGAATGCGTATCGTATCTTCCACTTGATTTGTTTAGTTGTTAATTGGCTTTCATTGAATTGTCTCCCAATTTTCAATTATATAACATTTCTTTTGGCTCTTTTGTCTTCGATTCGGTTGACAACAGAACCAAAAAGAAGAAATAAAGAGACGAAAATGGATACTTTATGACTTTTTCATTGAGAAGCTGTGGCTGCTGCGCCATTTGGGGCATCTGAAGAAGCAATTCAAGTGTCGCCCTTTATTCGCCTCGCCCATTGCCTTTTTTCTATTAATTGTAGCTGATGCTGGCTGTGGTTGTTGTTGCTGTTTTTGTAGGGCCCAAATTGACACATTTCTATGCTGGCAAATGGGATTACTAATTGTACAGATTCTCCATTGAATTGCCTGTGAAAAGTTCATTCATCAGAATGATTTATAGGTCGTTGTCCTCGGTGAAACATTGAACGTTAGCAGTGCTATATTATGGCTACAAGGCTTCAGGGTACGGCAGGTCATAGCAGGGTACAGTTGCACCTTGAGAGGACTGTTGTTATCAAGCGAATATTGCCACAAGAATAGTTAGTACCCGAAACGAAACTCGATCTTAATCGATGCTTTTCAATTTGCAAATTCTACAGATTAGTTGTTAGCATCTTTTTCCTGTGATATTAATGCTATATTGTTGTTATTATAAATGAATAGGTGTGAATATTTACCACCTATAAACAACATTATACGCAAGGGAAATTATCACCTCAGGATGTCAGGGATTTTAATATACATTTCTGGTTTTATCCGCTTTTGTCTTCTATTGCTTTTTTGCATGAGAAACTAGTTCAAAAGCTTCTACGATACAATTCTAATTCATATCTATTAGAACTCTGAGAGTCTAACTGAAAGACCATACGACACACCTTTTTCGTTTTCTTTGAGAAGAATCCGAGTAGTAGTCGATTGTGTACTTTTCTGGTATTGTTGAACTGTGACGCTCTCAGTAGTACTTCAGCGTCTTTGTATCCTGAATCTTTTAGCCCTACTACATGTACACGTAAATATTAAATAATTCAGCCTGAATCTTCTGAACACTCTTACAACAGTTGAAACCCCAAAAGACCCGAGCCCATTGATTTTGATTGGTTTTCAAACCAAGGACATATATTTTATTTAATCAAAAATCAGTTGTTTCATAAATAAACATTATATTATTTTCAAATTAAGCTCGCATTAAATGAACTTAAGGCGTAAATCAAAGGCCAAATACATATTCAAGAGGACCCAAAAAGAGTAAGGAAAAGTATATGTATGTCAAAATATGTTATAGTTAGTTGAGTGTGTTCATATTTGTATATATATATATATATAATATTGTATTGTATTTTATACACACACACATATACGCTAGTAATGCATTTTAAATACTCTTCCGATATATATGTATGTATATATGGTATATATATAATTTATTTTACGTTTATGTTTATCATATTCCATAGTACATATGTATGTATATTTGATTATTACCCAAAAACAGTCAGACAATTTCCGTTCAAATTAAATGTACGCATCTCCCCATATCGCCGGCAATCCTCCATTCGGTTCGGCATAGAATATTTAAAATATTTATGCCCTGAGCCACTTGTTTAATTTTGACAAATAGTTTGCATATTGTATACATATATATTTATAGCGGATATTTTGTATATCTGTTAGTATATATAGTTATTTAAAATCATCATCAAATGTCAATTTGATCGATCATCTTCGTCCTCGAGTCGGCGCCTATAAAAGTTCTGTTCAGTGTAGTTCGAGTGTACTGTAGTTCAAGTGTAGCGCAGTGCAAAGGGCGCTTATGTCTTCAAAAAATGTTCCAATTGTTAAATTAAAGCAGTTTAATGGACAATTGTCGCATCTGAGCTCGATTAAAGTTGCCTGCCTCCGTTATCGTTATCGTTCTCGTTAACGTTATTTGTAGCGTTCGCTTCTCGTCGCCTCAATTCTCTTATATTTTTGTACTACTAGTCCGGGAAGCCTCTAGTTTGATAAGTATTACACACACGTAGATACTGATAGTTTCGGTTTCGCTATAGTTTTAGTTATAGTATTCATTGTACATTAAGTTGCCATAGACATCGACATCCACATGGATTAAGAGTGGGGTTAGGATTAGGTTTACTTAAGTTCGGTTAGTTTTAGTTGATGTAAAACCCTGTGTCCAGCGCCTTATAAAACATTGATTTGATTATGTTTTGTCGACACACACCGTATTCGTGTCAATAGTTTAATTGTTAGTTGGTTTAAAATTGAAATTCTACAAAGAAATTGCACACGAGGTTGACCTTGGCTCTATCTCATTACTAATTGAGTTTTGGATATTTTGTTGTTTGTTGGTTTTCAATATTTTCTATAAATGTTCAAAGGGAAATATGTACCACTATAGTCTATCGATGCATCCGTTCTCCCACTCTCTAGAAGTACTTCTCGCCATTGTAGCTGGAGCCGCGCTCGGCCACCGGTTCATTCATGAATTGGCTTTGGCTAATAGATCGCTTCTTCTTGGACACCATGTACCGCTGCTTAGATGAACCAAATCCTGGAAAAGTTAAAAAAAAATACTCTAGATTTCACTCTCTCATTCCTGAGATTCCTTTTGACTGAGACTTACGGCTGTTGACTCCGCTGTACTTGTGTTGGCGTGGCACATACTCGTACTGGGGCATCGCTTGGTTCTGGTTCTCCAGGGGCATGTAGTAGTCCATCATGCCGGGCTGTTGTTGCTGTACAGGGGCATCGAGCCATGTGCCTGCTGGCACATAGTCCATATCATCGGAGGCAATCATTGGCACTGGTCCAGCGCTCTCCACATCGCTCTCCTTGCGCGCACGTTCTCCGGCCTCGACTAGGGCCACCAGAGCTAACATATCAGCGGGATTCAGTTTGGTGGTGTCTCGTTTAAGTCTGGATTTTGGGAGAAATATTCAAAGAAATCTTAGAAGGTTCATAATATCCACTTAACGTTTCTCTGTTCAGTGCTGCCAATTTAACAGAGTTCGTTCAAAACACTTATAGTCTAATTCTTATCCCAATAATCAATAACTTGGGCTTACCGCATATCATTGAAACGACGATATTTGCTCAGGTTTATGTTGTCGTTGCTGAGACCGCTGCCAGTGCCAGTGCTGCCCTGCATGCTACCGCCAGTGCTGCCCATGTTGTAAAAGAGGCCACCACGCTTGTTCCTGTCATCCAGATTGTAGTTGCGATTGGCATAGGTCAGTGGAACGGACAGGGGAATGCTCTCCAGATAGGCCTCGGCATTCAGCAGATTCTGGAGATTGTCATAGGCCTTGTTCCGGCCAATCGATCCGCCCACTACAGAACATAAACCTATTGAAGATTGAATCCTATGGATGAAGCCTCGGTATCACTCACCTCGTCGATCTGGGACATAGTCATCGAGATCCTGCAGATCCCTTTCGCCATAGCTGACGGGCACTGCTGTGTCGTACTCATCCGCCCACACACCGTTGGGCACATCGCTGCCATAGTCATTGGGGGCCATGTACGGATTATAATCGTAGTTGATGCCCCGCTTGCGCATCGTGGAGCTGGCCACCGCCTCCTCCAATGCGGTGGGTTCCTCCTGCACCTGCTGCTGGCTGTTTTGGGCGGCTGCGGCAACAGCGGCCAGGATCTCATCATTGCTGGGCAATGCATAGATGCCGGATGGACCCTTCTCCAGCTGCTGCTGCTGCTGCTGCTGGTTGCTGAGGATTTTGTTGGAGCTCCTAGCTGGCGGCGAATTGCTGAACGAAGATGGCACAATTTCCGGACTTGACTTTTTGTTGGCCGTTGGCACCATGGCCTTGGCTGAGGTATCCTCTGACCGTTTCGCTGGGGAATAGGAATAGAAAGGCAAATTGAAATTTTCCATTGCCTGCTTTTTGGGGCAATGGGCAAAGTACTATTCCCATTTGGTTGATTCAATAAATTTCGCACCCCAACCAAAGAGACCGACCGCAGAAACCAATTAGCCGCAGTCCGGCAACGAGTTCCATAATTGTTTTATACACTCGAGCATTTTTCTCCGCTCACGCTAATTGCTATTAACGCCCTGACAGGACAGCCTGGTTTATGTAATTCCAATGGCAACCCACAGCCACAGATGAGGGGATTACGCATACCGTGCCCCTTCTAGAACTGAACGGCAAGCCCTTGGCCTTATTATTTTACGTCTAATCATATTTGTGAGCCCCCATGCAAAGAGATTGGTTCCGTTCCTTACGCAACAGTTGGCCTGCTAATTGGTTCCATTCCGCGCTTAGCAGGAGAGGAGATGGAGCTGATATTAGATCTGAAGATGATAATCAAGCGACGGCTGCCGGCAATTAAGCTTTAGTTAGCACTTGACATGCTCTTGGCCAGCTGCTGGACATGAGCCCTCCACATGTACTCACTCTCCACCTCTACGGCCAATCTGGTCCAGCTTTGGCGTGACTCAAGCTTGTTGGCATGCCACAGTACGGGGGGATTCACATTTACGTACTTGAAAGGTTTCGTAAATAGGCTGCACACCTGCCCCAGAATGTCATACGAGTATAGACGGATATTTATGGAGGGATTTTCATGATGGTTTCTCATTTTCCGATAACAACAGTCGCCCATGTACTTTGCGCCCACGATTATCGAGGAAAGATAAGAGTTGGAGACCTAAATGGCTATGATTTATACACGATATATCCCTGATGAATGTGTTATTAGCTGGTGCCAAGTGACTGGACGAGGCACACACATCAAGTGGTAACAGTTTCGATTAGATTAGAATCGAATGAAAGGGGTGAGAACAAAAGTTTCCCATGAGCATTAACCTACTATATTCATATGAATTTTGATGAGTAGCTCTGGAGCTAAGTGCAATATTTAATACAAAACCCTCTTGAAAAGAAAATCAAGTATACGTAAAAGTCTGTATTCGTCTAAGGGGCATATTTGACATTTAGAAATTAGCTTGTAATAAGAGATCCCTCAAAAGAAAACACCACACCAGCGACTCTATGAAATTCTAGCTGTCCTTGTTAAAGTATTCCTTGTAATGCTTTGTGGATTACCCCGTAACCCAGTTTGCAATTCCCCGGAGTCCTTAGCGACCAATTCCCAGAAACTCTTGGATAAATGATTCCAAGAATCCGCAGTCATTTCACAGCAACAATTTCTGTGTTTTTGTTGGTGTTAAATATGTGGCCACACAGCAAAAGTCGTGTTCTGTTCTCTGGTGGCCTGCAGTGGGGTGGGCGAGAGTGGGGGTGGGGTTGGGGTTGGGTGTTAGAGTGTTCCCATAAATAAATAAAAAAAAGTAGAAAACAGGCAACAAAAATGGGTGGCTCTGGCTCTGGCTCTGGCTGTGGCTCTGACGTTTGCTGACGTCGTCCTCGTTCGCATCTCGTCACTGTCCTTCAGGTTCTGGGTACTTGTATAGCTCTAGATTCTCGAGACGTGCAGAGCGCCAGGTTCTCGGGACTTGAAAGGCTCCTGCCGTCCTGTCCTACCCTGTCCTTGTCGAGACTCGGGCTAACATGAAAATGTTCACCGAACTGTAAAAATATCAACAAGTTGTTTGCTTTTCCCCCTTAACAAAACACACATGCGCACGCACACAGGGCGCTGAGATTATGAAAAGAATGGGTGTGGGTGTGGGTGGACTTTGATGGCTTGGGTGTTGGCCTCTGGTGCTGGTGCTCGGGCTGCTCCTCATTCTGGTTACAGCAGCTGTTCAGAGTTGGTGCCGCCACAGCCACAGCCAGAGCCAGAGCCAAAGACAGCGCAACATGAACATGAACACAATTAACGCCATGGCTAAGTGCGTTGGCAGCCTTGGGGGGAGCTGGCTCCTGCTTCTGCTCCTGCCCCATATCCTATTGTTTAAGCTCCTGCTGCTGTCCCGGCCCCCAGCACTCACAGAAATAACTTAATAACCATCGGCATATGGAACAATTTGTGCCACGAAAATGGAAATGCGATTGGGACGCTGGGCCCCTAATAGGAGTTTGCGGTCTTGCTCCACTCTTAAGGATAGAAAGCCGGGATTGGTTCCCTGATCTGAATATTTTTATCGAATGGTCCTTTAATGGTTGACGGACAGCCCAGCGCTCAGTGAAGCCAGTGTGCTTTTATAAATATTTAATATACACACTTGACTGCTGTCGCTGTCCCTGTCCCTGTCCCTGCTGCTGGCTGTCGTTGCTGGTGCGTAAATTAAATGCAGAAAATGTGATTCGGGTGGACATCATTCTGTTTAAAATTTTAAAACGTGGGGATATTCCAACGACAAAAATTAAATGAAGGAAAGAAAGAAATTTTGGGCTTGCTCAATATGCTAACATTTGGTTGCGATCTACATATATAAAATAAGTATTAAATACTTTAATACATTAAAAGCATCGATGTCAAAATTCGAATAAAATATCTTGTAACAATGAATATCGCTAAAAGTAGGGAATATTTTCAACTAAATAAATCGAATATACATATGACTACTTTCACGTACAATGGTTACAGATACTCCGTCGAGTTCGTAAGATATATAAAAAAAACCTGCGTAAACCCCTAAAATCATTCAGCATAGACTTGAAAGACTTACTATGCATAACTCTTCAATTTATACACCCCCTTCATATATCTAGGTCCACCCTAAGACTAAACACCATCTATAATATATATATTGTTGGCTGTTTTTTGACATTTTGATGTGGCGGCTGCCTTTTGGCTCGAGGCGATTGACATTTAAGCCCAGCACCCACTCGGCCTTTGTGCGGTTTTTGGCCGGTAACGAACGTGTTGCATCCCGAAATTGGCTAAGCAAAAATAAAGAACGAAAGACTTAACAGCTTGAGAGATGGAAAAATGTAAGGCTCCCCTGCGCTGCGGTGTGGTTTGATGGAGGTGGAGGAGGAGCTTGGGCTTAAGATGTGGTGAAAGAGGATGCCAGGCGAAAGGCGCCAGGCTCGCAGAAGAGGGAGCCAGGGAGCAAGGAGACAGAGAGAGAGAGAGAGTGAGAGTGAGAGGCAGCTGAAAACTTTTGCTTAACTCGATGTCTAAAAATAGAAATGAAATCGCGCGCACGTACGCACACACTTGCACAAGGAGAAGGGCAAGCACACACACAAACACACCCAAACACCCACGCACATGCATGATATACATCTACGTATGGCCCAGTGTGTGTGTGTGTGTGTGTGTGTGCACAAAGGAGGCTGGCCGCCATTTTGTATGGCGAACGCCTACGCGATGTTTAACGGCGCTATAGGTACTCTCGTAATGTACATGTGTACAGTGGTCGACATAAGTCCACCTGCGACTGATTTTTCTAATATTTCTAGAGCAGTTTGGTGTTCTGTTGAAGACATACTAAAATCGGTATTACAGTACTGGGATACTATAGCAGGAGGATAATATAATGAATCTCCATATCCCTTTATTACATAACAACATTTTGGGTCGTCATCGGCGCGATCTAGTGAAGCGAGTGAGCCGGGGGTTGGTGTACGAGCGAAGCTCTCGAGTCGGCCTAGATCATTATTTTTTCTTTGCAGTATAGAAGGTTAAACTAGTATGATGAGAATATTACTATACATCATATATAAGGTAGTCAGACCAACAAATCTTTAAAATTTTAAGTTTTTAGATTGCAGAAATATAATTGGAATCACAATATTTTATCATATAATTAGCTGATAAAAGCATTTTCCGCCATGGAAACCTGCCTACGATTATCTTCTATCTGTAATATGTATATTACGTCTCGTCTGCACACTTCTGTTGGCCAGTGTACACTGTGCATAAGTATGTGTGTACGTAGCGATAGTAATGATTCACTAAGCCAGCGCAAAAGACAACAACAGCAAGGACAACCGCAGAATGGAAATTTGTGAAAACAAGCAGAAAGTGAGAGAGTAGGTGTGGAAGAGTATGTGGGAGGGAGAGCCAGAGACAGCGCCAGAGCGACAGCTGGCAAAGGCAGAAAACACCTACGCAATTTCCTGGCGCAAAAGCTAAGCGGGAAATGGGAAATGGAAAATGCTAAATGAGATGAGCCCCGAAGATGGGGGGCACTCAAGCGGATGCCAGCCTCTCATTCTCAGTCGAACTTCCATCTCCCACCTAAGCCCTTGTGGGCGTTGAGACAAGAGCAGATCTGGCCCTGGGCCTGGTCCTGGTCCTGGGCTCTGTCCTCTGGTCTCTGTTGCCGTATGGCGACGGCCAGTGAGCATTTTAGAAAACTTGAATTTTTCAATGACCTTTAGCATTAAAAGGGAGTGTTCTGGCGAGAGCATGGGCGGATCTGAGAGCTGAGAGCTCCACCCAGCCACAAGACATCCACGCGCAACCATTGAAAAACTGAAACTGAACTTTGGCACTCACCTGCTGCCGGCTGTTGCTGTTCCTGCTGCTGCTGTTCCAGCTGCTGGAGTTGGAGCTTGTTGTTGGCATTGGTGGAGAGTTCCGTGTTCCTGGCCAGCACAGAGGCTGGCACCGCCATCACCTGACCCAGGATCAGCGGGCTCAGGACCAGCATTAGCATCATCAGCATCTGGCTATTGCCTTCCAGCTTTCGCAATGAGATTGACAAACTCATGTTTCAGGTAGGAACTGGTCTAATGGAAAGCACTTTACTGGCAACAACAGGACTACGCGTCCTCTGTGTCCCAATTTGAATTGAATCTGCGGGCTATGATAGGTGGGAGGCCGACTCCTTTCGACTCCTTGTCCGGGTTGAGGGCTTGGGGCTGCTGAGCTTCTGAGCTGTGCTGAGGTTCGCGCACTTCCACTGTTCTGAATGAACTGACGTCCCAGCGCCGCAGTGCAACAGTTTTTAACGTACTGGCCCCAATTCCGATTTGCAGCCCCAGCTCCGGCCCCCTTCTGTGCCGCCGCACCGCTGTCTGCACAGTACCTACGTCACTCTCATTGATAAGTTTTGTGGCCGCAACAGCAGCAGCAGCAGCGGTGGTGACGGCCCTCGAACCAGCCAACAGGCGGTCCACAGGCATGCCAGGGCATGGGCAGGGCTCCGGCTTCCTGCTCCAATGCCTGATTACGTAGTTCTTTCGTTCGGGTCCCAATCCGCATGCGCCGTGTCTGCACATAGCTGCGTCGCTGCTTGGCCACTGCTCCTCGAGTTAACAGAGAAGTCTATATAGTGTATGCGTTCATATATTTATGTAGGAGACATTCTCTATAACAGTCAGAGCGTAACCGTGCGTTTCATGAATATCCATACGCTATATTATGAAGTATTTCTGTTATTGCACTTTTCCTTATGCGCCACGCATGTCAGCTGTGCTGACATAGCACGGATCAGCACTTTCGGATGAGCGAAATATTCAATATTGTCCTCGTATTCGAATGCGAGAAAAAGGAACGACAGGGATGTAAATGCTCGATGAGCTCAGACGTATATTTTCGTTATCTTGTTGGATTTTTTTCTGCTCTACTATAGAGCTGTTCGCTATAGAGTATTACTTACACGGCATTTGATGTGAAATAACTGTTTGAACCTCACACGTATCAAAAGATATGGGTCTGTGGATATATTTACAACTGAGCCTTTAGTTTCCATAAAGATAACATTTATAATAAACAAGAATATAATTAAAAATATTTTGATGGTATCAGAAATCCGAAATGAAGCAATATAAGAATGTATGATCCCCTCCATTCGTCCCTATCCATAAACAAAATTAAACACTCAGCACTTTGAATACATAAATGCTGGATCAGCGAAATTTAGTTGATTGCAAAGAACCACTAAACATGCCTAAAGTATATTTGTCAAGAGGTTCACTTTCAGTTAACGATAACCCAGCGGCAACAACGGTACCCAAAGCGGCGACGATGTCCAACCCAACTTTATTCATCTTCATCTTTACGATTTGCATCGGAGTTTCCCACCAGGCGCCTGTTGATGTGAGTGAAAATGGAGAGGTGGCGCCCATGACAATGACATACTTCAACAATAGCTTGGGGACCTTCATCGAGCACAGGGGACGCGCGTCCGTCATCATGTCAGAATGGACCATCGTGGTCTATTACAGTTTGGTGCCCCTCATTTCGGAGATTTGGACATTTAATAGCACCTACAAACTTCTAATGAAGAATTGCGACAAAAACCCCAAGGAGTTCTGTCCAAGATCATTGCAGTCTGATCTAAATGAGATGGAGGTGGCCAGCCTTTATCGTGGTCTGAGTAGAGAACCAGACTCAGAGTACGTTAAGTACACCGGCTCTATCATCTCAAGAATTCAGGACAACGGGGTGGACTTCAGAGACTTGCTTTCGAATCGAACCTCAGTCATCGACAGCACTTTCAACGTGATAAGAGAAAACGTTTTTAACAGCAATGAGATCAGTTCTTTATATTTTGGGGAACAGGCAGACCAGCTTCGTGCTCTGGCTGGCCGGATAAAGCAGACCCAGGATGCCATACGCGATGCAGTATTTACTGCCCTACATGGCAAGGTCCACCCGATGATCCTTTCAAACAAACAGCTGGAGCATGAGCAGACCGTCATCCTGGGCCATCTTCCACAGGACCGTCGGCTACCATTTAACAGTCTTACACTCTCTGATTTCTATCAAGTTGCCACCACTAGCCACATTCAGCAGCTCGAACAGCACCTGTTGTTCTACATCAAGGTGCCACTGGTCGACGTTGAGCAGTTCGATGTCTACCGTCTCACGCCCATCCCAAGGCTAGATGTAGGCGGCATTCAGCTGATGTATACAGAGACGTCGAACCTGGCCATTAGTGACCACCTGGACAGATACTTCGCCCTGCAGGACGTTGAGATGGACAGCTGCCTGCAGCTTCACCCCGAAAGATACCTATGCAAGCCCCATCAAATCACCTTTGGCCCAGACTCTGGAACACTGCCCTGCACACTGGCGGCCTTCCGGAATCGGACCTCCCAAGAGTGCAGCCCACGCCATGTGAGCCAAAGCTCTCTTTGGATACCGCTCGCTTCACCCAATCGCTGGATGGTAGCAGTCACCAAGGAGGTCTCGATTATGGGTGTTTGTTCGGATGAGCGGCAGCAGCTACGGATCAACGGCAGCGGTATCTTAACTATTCGGAGCGACTGCATCGTGCGAAGTACATTTGTGACACTCCAAGGGATGCAAGGCGCAACTGCAAGGCAGGCCTATGCTTCTCTGACACCCATAGCACTGGATGCCTCCAGGTCTTTGGATGACGCACAGAAGCAACACCAACTGGAGATTGAGGAGGGCTCATCCGTGGCCATCATTGTTGCCGGCACTCTCGTGATGATCATTGTATCCATTTCCCTGGGCTGGTTCTACGTTTTTTGCTACCAGCGTAGAGCCCGTGCACAGCAGGTACAGAGACCAGTGGAGGACCATCGGATAAAGACCAAGAATGAAGGGAGCTCCAACGATCATCCTCTGCTGGAGAGGAACAATGTGGAGTGAGTTTTGGTTTCCAATATAATACAGGTTTATTTTTATGGTTTTAATTGCAATAAATATTAGTTACTCTCTCATCCATTTACACATTGTAAGTCTCAAGGCTTTAGTTAAGGTTTCCTTTTGGTTGCACTTAGAATTTTAGAAAACATAATGGGACTGGGATTGGGATAGGTGGTTGCGGGTTGCGGGTGCTCTATGTTACAATTGCCTTGTGGCCTGGATGGACCACTTCGTTTTCAATTAAGACTACATTTTGTCAGCTACTACAAGGAAAAGATTGCCAATTAAAAACTAGTTACGTGCGAGCGAAGGGCGCACGCATTGCACTTTGTGTCTGTGTTTGTTAAATAAAGCTTAATGCACGGGGATCGCGAATTGGTGGGAAGGGGAGAAAAGCATTTCCACTACGTCTACGTACTAATGACGCTGTTCGACGGCATTGGCATCGGCATCCTACTTGGCATTGTCCAGCACCTGCACTATGTGCTTGGACACCAGAGCTGTGGCCTCGGCGGCATTTGGTATGAGAAAGCGATCCATGTCGGTGATCATCAGCCCTTCGCCATCGGGGAAGCCGTACTTGAAGGTGATCAGATCCCGGTGCCGCTTTTTGGCCGTGATCTTGACAATGCTGGCCAGCGGACGACGCACCATAATCTGGGCCTGGCCGCGTCCCAGTTCGCGCAGCACCACCAGCTGGCCGGGCGTGATTATCAGATGGCTGTCGTACATGTAGCCACTCATGTGCACCTCCTGGCACTTGAACGCATTGATGATGTCTGCCGTTTTGAAATATTGATTCAGATTTACGATCTCCTTGTCGTCGCCCGCCAGCTTGGGAGTATCGCGCTCCGCATCATCGTAGGCGTCCTCGTTCTCATCATCGATGCTGAACACAGGCGCCACACTGCGATAACGCTTGCCTTTCCGCTCCTTGGGACTCACATGATGGTCCTGGGACGCCGCGGACTGCGACCCATTGGACACGCCGCTGGCTGCGGCTCCGCTGCTCGCACTGGGATTCACAATGATATCCAGCAATTTGCCCTTAACCTCGGCCGACTTTGACTTCATGGCAGCAGAGAACTTGCTGAACAGATCCGTGGATGAGGCTGCCGCAGTTGCCTTCAGTGGAACGGTTTTCGTCTGCAAGAAAAAAAAAACACTTTCATTACATTATGCTACGCAAATGAGAGGCATTACTGGTACGAGTACTTACCTGTTGGGAATTATGCTGCTGGCAGACGAGGCACTTTCGCACATTGTGATCCTCCAGGCAATCGGCCATGTGGTCGCCAAAGTAGTCATGTATGGATGCGTAGCCGCCGGTGAGCAAGGACACGTAGTGTGTGTTCTTCTGCAGGAATGAAGCCACCACCATATGTGTGTATTGATCCTCCTCCACGCGTCCGCTGCCCATGAAGCACAGATGCTCCCCGCCGGCATTTGAATTGACCTCGATGGCCTGACGCTGGGCCGTGAGCAGACCCTGGACGGCGGTGGCGAAGGCGACGGGCTCCTGGAGCATCAGGTTGCAGTCGAGATGGAATGCCGTCGACAGGTGGCCGGAATTGTACTGCTCGGCTGGACGACAGTCGACGAGAAAGAAGCGCACGGAATCGGACACTGGAAACTCAGTGGCCGAGTTCTCCACCAACTCGTAGACGGACACGGGCAGGCACAGCGCTTGGGACACCTTGTTGGACTCTTCCTGGCTGCGCGGCGAGTCGTTCTGCTTGCCGTACAGCGCCTTCAGGTAGTCTGTCTTGAAGGAGGTCGGCGTCTTTAGCGCATAGTACTGGGCGAGAGAGCAAAAATCCCACACATCGTCCAGCTCCAGGGCGCACGGCATGTTGATGAGGAACTCAATAATCTCCTCTTTGGACGAGGTTTTAATCTGCATAATCTTCTCGCGTCCATTAATCAGGATGATCAGGGCCAGAAAGAAGACCATAAAGGGGTCGGCATTCTGAAAGTAAAGATCCCACATTGCTATGATCACCGACAGGCTGCTGCAGGAGGCGAACAATGACTGGAACCAGGTCAGCGAGTACAGGTCGGGTGTGATCTTTTTGGTGTCCAGCAAGGAGCACAGCTCAGGATCGTGGTACTGCAGCAGCAGCCGGAACACATGGAAGACATTGCCCTTCGGCTTGCAGCCCTTGGGTATATAGGTGTCGCGTATCGCCTCGAACAGATTGAATGTGTCCGAGCGGTTGAGCTTGAGGGCGAACAAAGGCAGTAGCAGTTCAATCCAGCCGTTCTCCGGCTCGTACTGCAGATTCCGGTTCTTGCAGTAGAACGTGATGATCGACTCCAGGTCGGACACCACCGACACTTTGTCCTCCTCATCGTTGCCCATGCGATCCACATGCCGCTGGCAGTCCTCTCGCAACTGGCTTTGAAACGGTAGATCATAGATCTCGTTGAAGAGCGACATTTGGTCGCTCTTGTGCCTCACATCCAGGCACACCTGCCATACATCCGGACGTAGGGCCTCTGGCAGGCCTTTGCCCCGACAAATGCTATATATATCGTTCACATTGCAGTCGTCCAGCAGAGCCGACTCCAGTTCTATTATCCTATAGAGAGGGAGAGAAAAGATGCTTTAATTTAAAAGTCTTGCTTTTGTCACGCCAGAAAGTGGAGCGGTGACGTCGACGTCGCCGTTAACGTGTCCAAAAGAGCAGCTGTTTGCTGTTGGCCTAGCTGATAACGATGCGGGCACTGAAATGATGCCTCTGTTGGCTGTCTGACTCAACTCAACCCAACACAAACACTCTCTCTTGTTCTCTCAGTGTGTGCCCGAAGGGAAGGCCATTTCTAAATTGCTCCAAAATTAAAATTAAAATACGAATCATGATTCGTTGGGCTTTGGGTTGTAGGGTTGACCAAGTGTTGACGTTGACGCCTTTCGCTGACATTCTGGGTGTCGCTATTGCGTTTATTTACCACATATTTTCCTCCATGATGACTCTCCCACCAGGTTGAAGTTCTGCACTTTGTCTACTTTAAAGAGCTGCCCTAATGCACTTTATTGCCCTTTGGCAGACACGTCGAGTGCATTTTTAGGTGCGTAGTTAATTTGGATAATTCTATGGTCTTAATCTTAATTAATTTGAAAAGAAATTTTGAAGAAACTATTTTTTGTCTTTAGATGATTCCAGGGTTGGACCAGGAGGAATTCCAGGGCTGCATCACTGTTATGATAACAGATTGTGATTACGCGCGCGTGAGCGTGATTCGTGACTGTCGATAGTTGTGTCATCGATAGTTTGTTTTGCCATCTCTAGTTGCCAGCTATTTTGCTATTAAATTAAAAAATTAACTTAAAATCTTGCTGTTGGCGCTTGAAATTTATTATCGCACTTTTTGGATACTCCCGCGCTGCTGTTGCATTAGAGAACGTAAGTTGAGGGCATGCTTAATGCGATGATTGGCCTATTCCCGCAAAAACGCACGCACACAAGGACCAGAGGCGAGAGCACACACGGATAGCGCCAAACCAAAACCAAACACACAGAGAGCACCCACGCACACACACACACACACACACACACACACATACACTTTTATGCAGCCTTCACCTAAATAATGCATCTGCATCTATTGATTTTGCATATTGCTGACAAGGTGTTGCAAGTATATGCTTGAGTTTGTGTGTGTGTGCTGCAGCAACAGCTGTGCCTCCTTCCTACCTACACCTCTCCTCTTCATCATCAACATCATCATTCCCCGCCATCTATCAAATCCGCCGCTCGACCATAGCCATACAATTTTGCTTGCATTTGCGCCACGTGTGACGTTTGCCATTTGCATAGCATCACGTACACACTTGATTCATTCCATTGTTCTACCCATTAAGTGCGACTCTCTTGGCCTCATCCAACAGATGAAAACGGGCAGCGGCAACAACAACTCGTTTGGCAATAGCTACAACAACAACAGGACAAGTAGCAGCACCAGCAGCAGGGAGGGAAACCACGCCACCGCCACCGCAACCACCACCAACCATTCCCTGGCGCAGCAACAGACGAGGTCCTCGCTCATTGTCACCGAGTGGGAGGATGGGATCATCTTCGACGTGGATGACCCGGACTTTTGCAACATAGCCGGTGATAAGCTGACGACCGCCACCAGCAGCTGTGCCGTGGCTCTGAGCAATTTGAATTTTATAGGTGAATATATGACTATAATTAGCGCACCGTATTTATAGTCTAGACATCAGTGTAATCTCTGTTATTTACGATTAGCAAACGCCTGAACTAGTTCGTCGGGGAAAACTTTTTTGCCATGTCCACACCACCTTTGCACCAGCTGCAGTGGCCCCCTTATCAACCGCACGGTTTTCCCACTAGGCCACTTGTGACGGCGCAGCACTTGGCAGATCTATACCTTTATGGATCCCTATGGCTTGGCCCCTTTGTTCGTCCCACACCCACTCCAGGCCGCTTGCAGGCAGGCAGGGCATTAGGCGTTTGTCTGATCGGGCGGAAACCGCTGTACACTTTTATTAATGCCAATTGCCGGCCATAGTCAGCTTTATCGGTGAGTGGCAGAGCACTTCGCCCTCTGATAATGGCTGTATATAATGCCAAATACCATTGGCTATCAATTATACAAGTTATTAAGCCTTGTCAATAGCCGCGGCAGCAGCACTCTGTCTTTAAATCGATTCGCCATAAATTTAGACCCAATTCGGTCTGTTTTTAGAAACAATATTCCCCGAAAATAATGTACAGCCCAGCCAGCTAGCCAGCCAGCCAGCCATCCATCATTTACGTGCTACTGAAAAACTGTCTCCCCAATATCGGTTAGCTAATTGTTTTGTCTTTCTGTTTATCTGCGATCTGATTAGCCTTATAAGCGAAGCGTGCGACCCGCCTATTCACACGTTTCGCTTGTCAGCAAGAATTTGCTAAATTCACGCGTTTATCATGTGACTCCAGTCCCGGATCGGACTGGACCGGCCTCTCTCTCCCACTCTCTTTCTCTGGCGGAGTGGGTGACAAAGAGTAGGCAAATATTAGTAATCGTGGTTGAGATTATGCGCATAAGGCCCGCCGGCACGATTTCATTTCATGAGAGTGGAATATTTTCTTTCTTTTTTGGGACTCAATAGCAATTGGTTTATGGCTAGCGTGAGCTGTTTTTTATGCGTGCATATTATTAAGGAGGCTCGGCACGTGTCGTTCATTAAAGGTTTCTGTGGATGGGGGCTGCAGACTCTATGGATAATACTTGAGGCATTGCGTGTGGTCTGGCTATAGGAACATAGGAAATAGTGTCGAAAGATCCGGTCCTAGGAAAAGTTATGTGTAACGAAACCATTTGTGGGAGGAGGCCTCATCTATAGTCATGTGCATATTACCCATGAGAAATGGTCTATTTTAAAATGCTATTGTCAACAAAGCTACAGCTTCCATAAGGAACCCAAATAAAGGAAAATGTAACGACATGGCTACTTATGCAACCCCCTGCTGGGGGTCTCCATAATCATCGTGTATAGTATGAGATGGCTCATGAGAATCTGTCTATTTTCAGATGATTACCATATTGCATCAGACTATTTGCAATCTGCTTCGTGTGGCTTGAGTGGCGCATATGTATGCATGTAGTCTGGTTCAATTGAAATCGGAATCTGTGTGCACATAAGCACATTACGTTTCAGATCAATTGAACAAGTTCAGAATGATTTATCCCTTTCGTATCAAGAGTGATATTTACACGGAATCGTAGTGATTTCGTGCGAGTATCCTCCCTTTTGGATTCCCATGACTCATTTTCCCTACTATTCCTAAGATATAGATATTTCTATCACTTATCGTAATGGATGTCGTGGAATTTTCTTATCTTGAATGATCACTCTTCTCCTTATCTCGCACCATAGTCGCAGTTCCCCCTTTGAGTCATCCCCAGCGTATTCTTACTTAACATTAAGTATACAACTTTTGAATGGAGCTGTCGCTCTCTGGTCTGGGGTACGTCTGGGGTACGAAAGTGGTAATGCACTCAGAATCTAAACAGTAGTAGCTCCCATGTAAATGCATAAAGTGATTGCATAAACGTTTCGCTTGCACACAAAAAAATGCTTATTAAAGCGACAAGCGTAATGACAATTTTTTCTTTTCTTATTTTTTTGTTCAAAAATAAATCCGTTTTGGATTTCGCAATGCGCCGTGCTACCCCTCTCAGGTGTCCCCTGTACCCCCTGTCCCCCGTGCCCGCTCGTGTCCCGCTTTTAGCGTCTGTCTGTTTTTTATGTTCCCATGCTCATTATAGTCGAAACCATACGGAACGCCACGCGCAGCCCATTCGCGCCTTGTTTAATTTGTACGGAGTGGCTCGTCTCGTCTCTGCTGATAAGTCCCGACCCCTGCCGCCTCGTCTCGTATTGCGCAGCAGCCAGCCAGCCCCTCCACTGATGACATGGAAAACCGATAGCCTCTGGGCGGCGGAGAAGTGTGGCTGGAATTCAGGTATAGACGGATCCGCCCAGACGCCACCACCGGCTGCCTGTCAGTTCGGTGGCGTGATGGAAAGTGTCTAAATTCCCAGTCTGGAAACTGGGGGAATCTGGAATCCGAAGAGCTCATCTGTTTACTCTTGGGATCAACTTTAATCTAAATTCTCTGGGAATCAAATATTCTCTGTACTCGTATCTCTGGATTTCTCCGGAAATCAAATCCCAATATCATTTGTCTTGGAATCCATGCGCTTTAGAGGTGACACCAGTTTATGGCAGCTACAGATCGACCGCTAACCGATTCGCTTAGGTCGCAACTGGTTATAACCTCTTCGATGATCTATTGCATAGCCGTAACGTAACGTAACGCAACCCCTTCTAAAACCATGGCGGAACGTGTGCAAATCTGCGGCGTCAGCACTTGGCGCTGGCGCCGCCTTCCACTGGACGTGGACTGGGGCTGTGGCTGCAACTGAGAAGAGGCCCGACACTACTCTTCGGGTGTGTGTGTGTAGGGGATTGATTTCAATTCCAATTCCGTTTCATTCATTCATTGTTCTTTATTCTTTTTATTAATTTACAATTTTAACATACATAAACACAAACACATAGAGAGGGAGAACCCTTGCGGATAGCAGCGGCAACAACGACACGACACGACCAACGGGTAGTAATCGGTTCAAACCGGTAATGTCAACGTACCTATCTCTCCTTCCAATGCTCTCTTGCGTGCGACTGTGTTTACATGGAGCAAATGTTTCGTGCGACGCAAATCTAACAGAGATGTTGTTATACCCTATTCAAAGTGGGTGTTTGCATTTAAACAGATGTTTGCAACAAAGAGAAGAGACAACAAACTAAAAGAAAACATTTATATGTGAGGCTTAGGTGTCTTAGATCCGTTAATAATAGAACCGCTATGATCGAATCATTATATCAGACGAATGGCCAACTCGGAAGGCGTCGACAGTGTCATCAATTGTTGTGCAACAACGGAGTTCGGAGTTCTAACGGAATTTCATTCTGACCAGGGTCGTAATATTGAGTCTCACACATTCAAAAATGCAGACGTCACACCAGGTATTCGGAAAACAAGGATACTACCAGTCGGAGGATATGGATAGAAGTGTACAAATCTCAGGGATGAGCTTCATTCAATGTTTCGACAACTGTCGAAAACCATTATTTTCTTTTAGAGATATTCAAACAGCTATATATATATTAAATTTGATTCAGATGGGAATACCTTCGCCATATCGATCCAAGGGTATCGAGAGCTTCGACCCTTCCTTCAACCAGAGTTCTTGTTGATTCTGTTGTCGGTGTTGCTGACGCTTTTTCTCGCTGCTGACGCTCCTTCCCTGCTGTTGCACTTCTGCTGTTGACGACGATGATGATGAAAGTCAAATGAGATGATGACGAAGATGGCAAGAGTTGCGACGTCAGTTAGTTGACGAGATTTACATACACAAAACTTGCTGTAAATTCCCATTAGCACCGCAAACAATGGTTCGTTCGAGTATGGCAGGTGCTGGAACTAGCAGAATTGAGTTTTCAGGTTCATCCTTCAGCCAGTTTAGTCATTCTGTTAAATGGTGACATTTCATTCTTGAATGAACACAATGAGAACATCTGTTAATGAATCAAACTAGTTCTTTTATTAGCTGGACGTGTGCTAGAAATCAAATGCCTAATGAACAGAGTTTCATTGGGATGAATTCATTGAACAAAAATGAAACCATCAAACCAGATTTATCTGAACCAAATCCGAAGATTCCAAGGAACGAGTGGTGACAAAACCCACAGCAGGTGCCCCTCACCGCCTGAACTCTCCCTGGTCACGTGTAATTAGCAAACTGTTGCATTATGCAGATCGCTAATTAGGTGTTCTCCAGACTTCCACAAGTGTTAATTGCCCGCACGCCTAACCAAAGACCACAAAATCCGCTCCGTCCCTTTGGGGGCAATCAGAGGGGGACGGCCGGACACTGTGGTGGGACGCTCTCCCTCGCTCCGGTGTGTTCTAGTTTTGATTCGGATTGCGCACTTTGCCTTCGAATGGGAATGGCATTTTTGCAAACCACTACTTTGCACCATATTCATGAGATTGCGATGGAAATACAATAGTACCTTGGACCAGCGATCACTAGGTTGTGTTTATTTTTGCATCAGAAATTCCGGTGCAAAATATTCCACGGGGAACAATCGATCAATGTAGTAATACTTCTGGGTTATGGGTTGTTCACACAAAAAGTTTCCCATATATATATATATAAACAATAACTGTTTTCCAGACATTTTCCCACTAATTTTGTCAGACATTTAAATATTTTTATTCCTGATCTGTGGTCTAGGTATTCCCTGGTAAATTTTAGACTTTTTTGTGTGCGTTGGTGGGAAATACGTATTTAATGTACGGGAAGTCCATGTTTGCTATTGGTTCAAAGTAGACAAATCACGTGAGTTTTTTTTCTCACATCTATAGACAGGTCTTTGTACAGCTAGATCTACAAAACGATAGCTCAAGAGAAAGCTTTTTCAATTGCGTTCTAAGATTCTACCAAAGACTGAACATTTCGGGGTATTCCCAAGGCTATTTTTTAGGGAGTGGACATAATGGTCTTTTCTGTTTCTATTATCTCAGATCGATTGATTGTTTTATATGGTTTTGATAACCTAGAGTTCTATAAGGAGTCTTTACTGTCCGTATGAGGAAGTTTTCATTGTGATAGTGCACTTTTTATGACAGTAATTGGCATTGGCTTACAGTAACTAGGAATTGGTTCGGCCAAGGATTCTAAGATATGCATTATACGATTATTATTATCTAGTTTTGTACTTTAATCTATTGGGAAGGAAACTTTCAATGATGATACGGTCTAATCAGCTTGGTGGGGCTTATTTTATCGCCCATCCTGCTACGAGTAGCATCCAAACATCAGTTATGATTACCGCACAAATTTCGTGTCTGTCATCGTGAAATCTTGACGATCAGACAGACAATAGAACGAGATCCACATCTATATACTCGTAGAAACGAACTTCCCGAATATAACAGAACAAGTTCTATTAATATTAATGCTGGGGAGGCGGTTATTCCAAATAAATGTTAATCGAAAACCTTAAAATATGGGAAGTAAATATAGAATCTAAAGTATCAGTCATCAGTGATCGTGTTACTCAGATTCCATGATGAGTGCAGTTCCTCTGTTTCTGTGTTTCCGTAAGGTATGCAACTCGATATCCATCCGAGTAAATGACATTGCCAGGGGGTTAGAGGGTCATGCGGTAACCTTCTTCCAGTCATCGGCAGGGCCCGTATCAGTCATACTACTACTACAATATCCTCCAAGGGCTACCTTCAATGAGAACGAGAGTGAGATAACAAGTCATAGACCTATTTATAGGAACAGTTCTCGCAGCTCATTGAGAACGCTATCATTTTATCAGTCATCAGTATGCAAATGCCTCTTTGCGGAACTCTTACAACACATCTGTATGGAAATGTGGAAGCACCCCGAAGGGGGGTCGACGAGGCCAGAGTTCAGGGCCGCGCAGTCGCCCGACTTCTCGGATGGGAATTCTAATTGCCCTTGTCAACAGTTTTTGGGCCCACTGTAAATCTGTCGGAGCTCTAATAGAGGGACGAGAGCACTTAGTGCACTTAAATGTACCCGCGATTCTACGGCAGATCCGGCGAAGCTTTCAACTCACTTTCGTTCGAATGGAATGATCTGCCTCTGACAGGCCACGCCCCGTTTTGGCAGTTTACCCACAGATATTGTATATTGTATATTGTACTCGTACGAGTGCGAGTATTTGCCGCGCACTGAGTACTTTTCCCCCATTAATTAAGTAAACCGTTTCCATAGTACAGCCCAGACGCAGACTAAGCCGCAGGTTGAAATTCCGAAAATCAGTTTGTTTGTACCCGCCAAACTCTTGGGCGAGGGAATCCCGCGGAACGAGTTTTGTGTCGCTATTCGACCCAGCTCATTAGCATTGCCATGTGAGGTAGATGAGGCTGTGGCCTGTGCTCACGATGATGATAATAATAATGATAATGATGATGAGCGGATCAGCGTGTGGCGCTACACATTATAATACTATGTAAATGTAGATTCCCCATAAACCCAAATGAATCACACGCCCACAATTCTGGCTCATGATCGGAGGAGGTTTTTATATCGAAATCAAAACAAAGCTGGGTTTTTTTTTTGGTGAGCTTCTGTTTCTGCGTTTTTGGGCTCGGTTCCTGATTTCTCTCGCTCACGAATTGACGTCAGCCGATGGCCGCCTTTTGTTTTTCGCATTTGATGGTACAATATACTCGTATCCATCTACCGATGCCACATGTCTGTTGTTATTTACACACCAGTCACAACATCCATCCATAACAATAATTAACAGATACTGCCGTACAATCGTACAGTCGTACACTCAGGAGCAGCTTTATTTGCGTAGCTGCGATGCAAAACAGAGCCGAGCCACTGCCGGTGTCAGAGTCAAAGCCACCATCAGAGCCAAAGCCAAAGACAGCGCCGAAACCAAAGAGGAAGCGCATGTCTTTAAGCAGCACTTGACGACGCAATAATTGTACTGTATTTATGCACAATTCCGCCAGTACTCGTATGTATATTGGCAAACACAAAACTATATTTGCCCAACGGAAACTTCAATACCCTAAGATTTGTGTTGCCTTGATGGATATGCCACAGACTGAATGATAAATGCAGTGGCTTCTGTTGATCGATAATGATTGATCAAGTGCGAAATCATATACCTTAAAGTAAAGTGTTTAAAATAGTCTTGGAAATAGGTACGATGGAACAATATTTAAGGAGAGGTCACAGTTCACAGTTGTAATAAATGTTATATTTATTTCATTTAGTAGTGAATATCCTAATATGTTTTCATTGGTTTCACAAGTTCAACAATATATAAAAAAAAACCCCCAAACAGTCTTGAGTGATAGTGAAACCCCTAAGTAGCCTACATTATCAGTTTGGAAATAAACTAGAAAATATATTTTTGCATAGGAATATTTAGATGTGAAAATATAGAAACCCGATCCTAAATAAACATTATCTGTTTGAAAGTTTCCGAATAATAAATATTTAAAGAATTGTGCGTAATAAAATGATATTTACGATATCCAATCTCTTTGAAAATTGATAGCTCTATGGCAGACTTATAAATCATGCGATAAGATACGAAATATAACATTTTCGACAGCAGTTTTTAGTAGATTCGTAGATCATCCGGTTTGAAAAATGCATTGTACAGTACAACGGTGGATGGGGATACATATATGTATGTATTTAGCAGGAAGACATAACATATAAAGCCAATGGGGCGGGAGATCTCTCTCACTCTCTTTCTGTCTTTCTTTCTGGTCTGTCTTCAGGAAGAGTATAAAAATACACACACGAGCTGCGTGCTCTGCGTGCTGCGATCGGCGTGGGGCTGGGGCTGGGGCTCTTAATAAGTTTTTCAAAAGGTTGGCAAAATACTGTTTAAATATTGTTATTTTCGGACTAATATCCTCCACGTTTTCTGACGCAATTACGGCTGAGGTGAGAGTGTCCCAAAGCAATTGCCGTGCGACCTTCTCAAATGACAATGGTCCCTCGATTCCATTTCCATCTCCGACTCCTCGTCCGCCCTGCACCCCTGCGCCCCCGCATAAAACTGCGCCGCGGATTGCAAAGTTGAATGTCAGTCGCAAAAGTGTGCCCCGAATCGAGGGCCTCCTCATGGAACGGCTTTCAAGACGCCGCCCCCGGGGGGGGGCATGGGCATATGACGGTCAAGGGGATGTTGCCGCTCGTTCTTGCTTTCTAAATAAACATTAATTGCTTATAATATATGCTGTGTGATTGTACAATATGCGAGTTGGATACGTGGATACGTAGTATATGTTAGTTTATGGTTGCCCGTCCGTCGTGGTTTCGTCGTCACGAATTGCCGACGCTGAAATTGCATTAATTTGGCGAGGGTCGCTTGGGGATCGCTTTGCTTCTGGCTTGGGCTTGGTTCAGGGCTCGGAGTTCTCTTCGGCTTTGGGTGCTGCTCCCTTTTCGTTTGTCTGGCGAAATTTGAGCTTCCCCAATGCGACGCGACGCGCGACTCTGTAGCGGCGGACTTGAGCTGCACTTGGCACTTGGAGCAACAAAAAAAATGCGAATTTTTCCCCCTATTAGCATGCCAACGTTAGCGAAAAATTTCCATTCTGCCGGGGACTCGCCCTGTATCGTATATAATGAGTTGGACCGTTATACTTTGAAACCCGAAGGCGGGAGCGCTGGGGAAGTCTGCCGCGCCACGCGCTGAGAGGGCCACTCCCGCCCCGGAGCCCGCTGATAAGATTAGGGCGATTGATAAGCGAAGCATTGGCGTAAAAACATTTGTACATGTTTATGGTTTATGGAGAGAGACATGCTCTCTCGCGATTTCCAGCGAATCGAGATGGTGGTTTACCTGTATTTGAACCGGACCCGGGGTGCCCGGGTACTTTTCTATTCAGCCTTTTTTCAGCCACCTGCAGCACGTCCCTGTCCATGGTCCGTGGGCCGTGGTCCCTGTCCTTGTCCGGCGCTCTACCTGTCAAAGAATAAATGATTTGTTATTCAAATGAAATGCGTTCGTTGACGGGTCGACGAGGGTGCTGACGGTTGCCAAGCTGGTTCTGTCTATCTGTTGTCGTTCCGCTGTCTTTTACGTCAAGCACCCCGCGACGATTACATTTAGTCAATGTACTAGTGTCCGTCCGGTCAATGCGTCGTATACGTATTGCCGCAGTGTCCGTATCTGTACGTAAGAGTATCGGTGATAATGCGGTGGAAGTGCAGATAGCAGATAGGAGGAGGGAGTGAATGCATCAGAGATGTAAGGCTGTAAGTGTATTCCCCCTTGCCGTTTGACTCTGCTCTCTATCTCTCTCTCTATCCCTCTCTGTTTTGCTTTGTTATCGCCTCTCACACACACACATACACACAGCCACACTCGCTCTCCGTTCTCCGCTGTTGCCAACTACCGCTAATTTGGTCAGCATCTGACTTTGGTTTTTGGAATTTTGCTTTGATTTAACCCCCCCTCTCGTAACGTTCATTACGACTCTGTTGGGTGTGCGTGTGTGTGTGTGTGTGTGTATGTGTGTGGTGTCACTGTATGCGAGAGCTTGGCAAGTTCAGTTCGTTAGCTTTGCTTTGTCATCCGCAATATCACTTTTGCGAGCTCGCTCTCTCGCTGTCTCTCTCTCCCACTGCTGTTTGCTCTGCTCTTCGTTTACGTACTCTCTCAGAGCTCGGCTATAAAAACGATGCGAACTGTGGCCAGCGCGTTCATTCGATTCCATCCATTCGCTTCGGTCGTGCATGCCACTTGGTCTTTGGCTTTCCAGAAAAAATCAATTCCGTTTGTCTCAACGGAAGCCCAACTATAAAAGTGCGCTGTATCAAAACAATCGTTATTATTTGGATATCAACCCGATGAACACTGAGCAATACATTTACACGAGCTAACTGTCTCCATCGCGTGTGAAAAGTTACTAAAGAAAACAAAAAAAAAAACACTACAATAGCCAAAACGGTTACTGTTCATTTACAAGCAATTATAAAAGATAATTTGATTTGTTGTGGCTTACGCAAGGCCAAAACAACAACAACAACCACAGCAACAATTATAATTACAAAAAAAAAACACTACAACAACTGCAACCAAAATCCCAATTTGGATTTATTAATAGCGCAGAATAAATAAAAAACAGAACAGCGTTCAACAATTCTGTAAAAATACAACAAATGTAAGTATTTCCGTGCCCAAAATAAATCAACAACAACAACAACGAACAGACCCCCCCCCACCCGTCCGCTTCCTCCGTACATTCATCTCTCGTTTGGATCTGTATCTACATATGTGTCTGTCTGTCTGTCTGTCTATCCGACTGTCTGCCTGTATTTTTGTGTGCGGCTGTGTGAGTGCCCTTCTATAAATAAATAAAATCAAATTAAATGCAACTAGTTGTGCTGTGGCAAGAGGCAGGGGCCGAGAGTCGGAGCCAGATACATGGCTGCCGCATTCGTTCGCTTCGGATAAATTACAGCAATTTTCGTTTTTTTGCGACGTTTCTGTCGCCGCAGCTCTAGCAGGCACGCAAACCCAGGCGAAATTGCAATTAGCGGGGACTTGAACCAGGTGCACTTGCACCAGAGCATAGGCACAGCACAGGGTCTCGCTTCGACTCGGCCTCTCCTTCTTCCGCCTCTTTCTCTGTTGCACAAGCTGCATGTTGGTTGGGTTTTAATTTTAGCCCCCAATCGGCTCTTGATTATACTTTCTCATACGATCCAAAGTTATATATAGAACGGCTGTGCTGTGCTGTGGATGGCATGGTCGCCGCATAACAACGCAAAATAAATTTATGATGCTGCCAGGCCAGACGCAGATCAGCAGTCATGTGCCTGAGGAGGATTCGCTCCCAGATACATACATACACACATACGTATAGTATGGATGTTTTTGCAACTTTGCCAAAATCGTGCCAAAACAATGTAGACAAGTTTGTTCTGTATAGTATAGTGTTCCCATCCCATACCACCCCACAAGAGATCGTGCAATTATCGGTCGGACAGTAATGCCAATTCCATATAATTCGCACATTAATGTTGTTTAATTGTTCGGCGCCCCCATCCGAAGCAATTAAAACTATAGGAGAGGATGACGCATACGAGACACTGTAGAGATCTGTAGAGCAGCTACACACACGGCCTCCGCTGGCTGTTTATGGTGCTTTCAACCGGATTTTAGCGGTTATTTACCCCTTCTCCATGCACACTCGTACCCTCCCCTCCGCTGCCCTCCCTCCACTCCTATTTCTCAATAGTTGTTAATTTTTAAGCCAAGAATGTCGTTCGATTCGTATATGATATACCTATATACAATATATTTGAATGTTTCCAAGAAGTCACAGAGGTACACAGAGGCTGCTGTTTGCTGGCTGCTGGGTACAGTTGTGCTTGATTCGAAACTGTCATTGCAAATGCCTCTGACATTTCAAGTATTCGTCGGTGAGGCAGACAAGACACCGAACACCGAACACACGCACGCACCTGCACGAAAAGCCCGTTTACCTTCGGGTGTGTGCTGTGTTCGGGGGTATTTACCTGCAGAATGACCCCCACTCGATCTCACCTTGTTACAATTGATGAACTTTGAATCGAATCGTGTTTTAATTTTGCTCTCCCTTCTTCCCATTGCAGTGCCAACAGCAGCATCCAACATGTCTATTGCCAGTGTTCATGGTCCCCAGATCGCCGACATCTGCAGTCCCCTATCGTAAGTATACAAAATATAGACACAAACACACGATCATCATCAAAACATTCATATACTCATAGTAGATCCAATGATTCACTTGGAATCGCTGGAATCGTTTCCGTTTCACCGCATTTATTCATTCGTATTTTAGCCAAATTCATTGTAAACAATGTCAGGGCTGGGGCTGGGGCTGGGCCCTGGCCAGAGGCCAGAAGCGGTAGCATTCGGAGAAGGCTAATGAAAGGTTGGTCTGGCTACTCATTCATGATTTTTGCAATCTTATCATGCCCAGACCCCGGTTAGGGTGCAGAGTACAACTACAACAACAATAATAGCAATACTATTGAAACACCACCTGCAATATATATACATATACATATATGTATATTTATATGGCCCCGACTTTGGCCCATTAATGAAAGAGGGCAGTAGCAGTAGCAGTCGCAGTCGCACCTTACGAGAGAGGTTCGCGAGGTTCGTCTGTATTAGTGCCATTATCTTTTCGGGGCCTGGTCGCTCCTCCTCTTCCCCGAAAACAAAAGCAAAAGCAAGTCGCCGCCGTGCCGCTCACATGATCGAGCGAAAGTCTCGCCGGCGTCCGTCGTCGTCGTCGTCGTCCGCTGTCGCTGTTGTTGGGTACAGTTTGCCATTTGGTTCAATCATCCGCAATCTCTCCGCGTGTCTCTCTCAGTTCCACCACGCTACTCATTATCATAATCACGCCAGCGACAGCGCCACGCCAGTGCCTCCCACTCCTACCGCCGACCCAACAAGCAAGGTCACGGCTGCCAGCTTTCCACGATTTGTCATCTAATTTTTGTTTTGACTCTGAGCTAATAACGAATTCCCCCCTTTTGTATCTGTGTCTCTTTTAGGCATCACAATCTCGGTCTGTCCGCGTCGTTGCCAGATCTAGTGGGAAGTCCCCTGGAGATCAGCATGGACAACGTGATGACCATTGAGGAGTTGCGCCAGCATATGGGCTCCTGCTTCACCTGCGGCGTCTCCTGGACAGATGATCATGTCTCATTGGACTGCAGCGAGTGCGGTGGCTACAGCCTGGAGCGTCCCTGCCCCCTGTGCGACGGCCAGTGCGGTGTACAGTGGAAGCGAGATTTTGCCATGGTGAGTACCATAGAAATCCTTGGAAAAATGTATGAACAGCCAGCTAACAGATTGTTTCTCTCGTTAACAGTCCCATGCCTGCAGTCAAGCGCGCTGGGTGGGCGTGTGCATCAGCTACCCGGAGGCAGTGTCCGGAGTCCAGCTGCCAGGAGGTGCTGGACCCAGCACTTCGTGTGCTGCCGCTGCGGCGAATCAACTGCGTCTGGCCCAGGAGCTGTGCTCCCGTCTGGAACAACTGTCCACCTCATCGGCGAGCAAAAGCGCCCGCACCTAGAGCTGGCCCCCCCGCCACCAGAGTTCCTCCAACAACAGCCAGACTGCAGCACCGCCTCCACATAAGCCGCACCCGCACACACTCATTCATCCAGATAGCAGTTAGCTGAAGGCAGCCCCGCGGCTCCAATCCCGTAGTTGGTGCCGTGGATCCACCTCCACACACACAAAAACACACACAACCACAAAACAAACAGACACACACACCACACAGTCTCTCACCCGTAATTTAGGGCTTAATTGCTAAGCTTTTTAGTTCTTAGTTTTTATTGTTGTGTCGCGTTGAGAATTCTCTTTCATTTCATTTATATTCTATGATTATTATTTTTTGTGTTTCGTTCGGTTGCGTTTCGTTTGCTGTTGCTGGCTGTGTGACTGTGCAAATGATTAGCGAAGTTAGTTCTTTTGTTTAACGCTTTTAATGGCACCACTTTTGTTTGCACACATGACACCAGGCAATTCTATCCAGGAAAAGACTTCTTTCTGCGTAGACTTAAGCCAAGTTTTTTGGCAATGCAGTGATAACGGTGATATTAGGCGGCCAGAAAGAATCGTGAACAAATAGTGAATTTAATATGATGTAGCAAAAATGTCTAACGATAGCTATAGCTATACCAATACCTATATCTATATCTATCTACAATCTAGGTCGATAGCGATACGATAATAATTTTTGTATACTTACACACAGACCGATACAGAACAGACCGACACCGAACAGACCAGACCAGACCCCTTTTGTAACTGTCTAGAGATCGTTGTTGTTGTTAACAATTAGTTTCGTTATAGTTGTTGCTTTGTGGTTCGAGGCACAAATCAGATCAAAGCAAAACACAAACAAAATATTGATGGTGCATTCCGAAACTAAAGAAAGAAATGAATCTTATCTTCCATAATGCATAATGCTCAACAAAGTAACTAAAGGATTGTACGACATATAGTCTCTGTCTCTCTCTATCGCTCTGTTCAAAGGGGAAAAGCGAAATCGCAATAAATGAATAGAATAACAGGATAGGAAAGCTGGACAAAACGCACAAGGAAACAACTAAAAAGCATTACTCAAAAGTTGAAGATTTTCTGTGAAAATCCATATGACATCTAGAAGTTTACACCTAAATATATACAATACCTATTATATATACCACTATATATGTAAATCTGCATAAAATATATACATACATACATATGAATATATTTATATATTTTTAATGTAGAGATATGTTTTGTAAAAGACAAAGGCATATTTTTAAAATTAAAATACTTAAACTATGCGAAAAATCAACCAACAAATGTGCTCACTCTTTCGGATGTGGTATGCTGGATCCAGATCCACTGTTGTCGGGTCTCGTCTCGCTCTCTCTCTGTCTCTGGCCGACTATCTATTATCATCTGCTCGAGAATCATGCGATGCTTAACACAGTTGCCATTGTCCAATGACAGGGCGTGATGTCGTCGTCGTCTCGAGAGTGAGATGTAAGCCGGAATCTAATCAATTTTTATGGCTCAGGCACCACCTGGTGGGCCTACAGCCGCCTACAGTGTTGTCACCTGGAACGCTGGCATGCCGCTAAGTCCCACAGCAAATAAACTTAACGCTCTGCGGCTTCCCGCAAAATTATGGTATGATAGCCCCCGTTATAAAGGGTGGGGATTTAGCCTGATTTCTGGGAATTTATCGCCCTTTGTGCATCATTTAAGGGGAAGAGCTTTCAGATTTCATTCGAAATCCCAAATTGAGAAAGACCACTCTGCCTCCACCGATTTGTAAGTATTTCTGGTTTGGCTTTAATCGGCTTTACACACTCATAATCGTATAGCCTTGAGGCTCTTTGATGCCATGTCCCACATTGGCTTTATTGTTATTATCGTTTCTGGGAATCCAGTTTTATCATTCCCCGAAGAGTTGCTGCCACAGTTATCATCGAGGCAATTACACTCTTAGCTTACATTTCCCTAGCTAATAATTAATCAATGATTATGTGTGGTTCTTTTCCTTTACGTACCATTCGATGGAATGACTCTTTGTATTCATAATTTTTTGGGGTTTCCAGGAAGGTTGGGCTTCTATCAACTTGCATCTTATCTTGGGAAATAACTTGGGGATGTTTCGCACTTCCTATCTAATATCTATAGATATCATTCTTTCGTCTAATAAGTTTTGCCATGCGATGAGGTCAGACAACAGCAGAGACTGCGACTACGGCTCCTACAGCTGCGTCTACGCTGGCGAGTATACCAAATGGGTGTGTTGAGGGACACAAAACCAGTGCCGGCTGTACTCGTAAGAGAGGATTAGGATTAAGATTAGGATTGATAATCCTCTTGGAAGTACTTACATTTCTTTGTCTGATCCAATTCCACATCGAGAGTGGGAGTTGCCTCTGGCAAGGGCATATGGGCTTTAAGCTCATCCAACAACTCGCTCAGCTCTTGGGAATCCTTGGCGATGCTGCAAAGTTCCTCCTGCTGGAAGTCGGGATTGATTTGCTTGCACAACAAGATCTGACTGATGACATTCCCCAGATTAGAGGGAGCAGTGCGCGAAGGAGCTGTATGGGGGATACAATCAGTGAATCAGTGAATGGATCCTTAGAAGAACAGGATCATCTCGCCCACCATAATACTCGGTCATATCGAGGGGCACCAGCTGAATCAGACGATAGCTCTTGATCAGCTCGTGATGGAACAGCTGGCTCAGATGGTAGAGCAACGTCAGGTGCATCCTCTCGCTGGGACTGCCCAGACAGTGGCGCGGCTGCGGGGTGATCAGGTGTGCCGTGTGCTTGCAGGCGTCCAAGCAGCTGCGCCTCAGCTTCCGGATCTTCTCGCGCAACTCCGGCGAGTCCCGCGCCTGTCCAATGAAGATGAGCATCTCCCGAAACTGGGCCACACTGCAGTTTATTTCGGTTATGAGCTGAGAAAAGAAACCATACATAAACTACTCGTTTAATTTGGGATGAGACAGAGACTCATACCTTTTGTGGGTCTCGAGAGGGAAGCAACAGCTGCGGCAGATAGATGGACAGTCGATGGGCTATAATCGTGGAGTTTCTGATGGCCAGGGCAGTGCTGCTGGCCACACTTGCCGCTGGCTTCTCTCCGATGTCCTTTAGGGCTGCCGCCACGAAGACACCTCCGTTAACACCTCCGACATGGGCCATGCTTGCATGCAGACTGTGGCATCCTCGAAAGTAGGCTATAAAAAGCCAGCGAATGCAACTGCTGCAATGATGTGAGTCCCGTCCCATCGCCAGTCTGTATTGTATGTGTGCTTGTGCTTCACTGTGTCTGTCTTATGTAAGCAATTGCGGTTGTCCTGTCTCTCATTACCTTGTGTCAACACGCCACGGCACGGCTGCTAAACAACTACAAGTGAGGGGCACGTAACAAGTGGGGAAAACATACACAGCCTTAGACCCAGCAGCAGCAGCACCAGCCCCAACCCCACAGTTCCACTTTAATCAGAACCGGTGCCAAGCTAGCAGGAGATGAAGCTATTATGAAAAGCAGCAGAGCAGAAAATTTTAGATTTATGGGTTCTCATTCCACTGAAATAAAATATATACAAAATCGCTCATGCACCCAGGTCAGGAAATTACTCAAAAAATGATACATCGCTGTGGAAGCCCGGCACATCGATGTACATATCAACGGTGTCACAGTCGATGGCTGCCAGCTCCTCAAAGATCATCTCATCATCGATTTCCAAAAGGGGATCCTGCAGGAGAATACAGATGAAGTGAATGGAAGGTTTGAAAGGATATTGTGATTGGCACCTACAATCTTGGCATACTTCCAGCACTCCAAGGCCTTGTAGTTTTCCCCCAAGCGGAGATTAATCAGAGCAAGAAAACCCCAAATGATGGGCACATGATTCTGTGATCGGGTGCAGTTGGCAAAGCACTGCAGAGCCATATCGAGGTTGTCCAGCTTGTAGAAGGCCTTGCCCATAAGATAGCTCGAGACCATGGGAATCAGCTTGCCAATGTACGGATAGCTTAGGGCCTGAATGACCTTGTAGTAGTCCCCATTCTCGTAGGCAATGTAACCCAAACGCATTTTGCTAACAACGAAATAATCCCGCTCATTCTCGTCGATTACGGGAAGCTCCAAAGTGGCACCATAGAAGATGGCCGCCTTCGCCATATTGCCTCGATAGTACTCCACATTCCCATTGAGTTGGGCATTCATTGCGGCCTGAAAAGCACAAAGCAGGATATCAGAAAATGTCCTCAAATAGGGAGAGTGTAGAAACACCCACCGCTCTATCATCTCTGCCGAATTTAAAGGTCCGCACCACAAACTTATCTTCCAATCGATTGAGTAGAATCTTCAGCTGAGTATTGATCATATATCGATTTGCTTCGGAGCAGTTATCTTCCACAACGCTGAACACCACTTGGGCGAACTCGTAGAGGCCCAAGCGCACGAATGTTTTGACAACATCAAAGAATACAGTGCCGCGAATCGTTGAGAATTCCGGAAGGATAGTCAGAAATATGCCCCACAAACTGTACGGAGATGTGGAAGCACCATGACGGCCTTGCTTCATTTGCATAGTGGCAAAGTTGCCTTGCCAACGGGCATAGGCACATCCGGGCTCATATTTGAACTTCGTATAGTAGCAGAATAGCAGGATCCAGCCTTCATGCATTAGTGGATTTGCCTTCGTGAACTCAAAAAGGCTACGTAACAGGCACTCCGTACTATTCGCAGCTGTTTCCGGATCGTCCCGCGTATCTAGGTATTTTAGGTACAGCTTAATCCAGTCTCTGTGAATGGTACGTGATATCAGTCATGTGTGATAAAAACTGTTTACGCAAAACTTACGCAAAGTATTCATAGTTTTCCGGCACCCGATATTCCTGCGAGTTAAAATACGCCTTTACATCGGCATATTCGCACCGTTCCATATGCACGATAACCATAAAAAAATTCAATCGATCATCATATGACTTTTCGGTGCAAGCCTGAAAAAAGTAATTATACGAAAAAGGAAGTAAGTTAAGGGAGGTTCATATCTGATGAGTAAGTGGTTTTTGACTTCCCCTTAAAAAATAATCAGCTACATATATTCCCTAACCATGACCGATGGCTTACTTCCGATTCAGTTCATTCATAACTGATACACTACCGGGAAGTTAATGTCAGTCAGTTATTCATAACATTCAATCTAATCAAATTAGCGACAAAATGTCGTGAATCACTGTAAGCATTTTAGGAAGCGTTTGATCGTTTTCTTTCTCACAAAAAAGAGTGACAAATTGTGGTTGCACAGACACAGGTAAATGTAGGAACATTTGTTTATATGTCTACATATCTCATATCAAACAGACGCGACTGTTTGTGCACTTAATTTGTCCATGTTTCGATTCGGTATTTGTTTCGTTCGGTCATTTTAAATCTCATCAAAACTTTCGCCCAAATTTTACTGAAAAAAGCAGCTATCGTCATTTTTACTGAGTCAGATCCGAAAAATTTCGGCTTCAGCTGAGATTTAATAAATACTGCGGATTCATGCAGGGCTATAATCTGTATCTTAAATTGTTTACCATTTTCTTGGCTGAGTCTTAAACCAGTTAAATGCTAAAAATACTATCCACTCACTCCCTACGTGATTAGAATCGGGTCACTGTAATAAATGAAGAACTAACCTTCTCAAGCACATACTGAGCCATACGATCATCCTTGACAGCGTACAGCAGTTTGATGGCATTGATATAATCGATAATTTCATCCATTTGAATTTGGGGATGAACAACGAAATTATCGAAGCCCGCATCCTCGACTCTGTTCAATATTCTATAGATTCGGGGCTCCAGCTCATTATAGGCGTCGGCGCACAGGTTCTAAGGAGATATGATCCAATTGAATCACTCTACTACAACCACTCTCTACAACGACTACTCTACTGACCTTAAATTCCACACTTGTTTTGGTGGGGGTGCGCGTATTGAACACGCTGCCCAAGAGCTTCAGCAGGATGTTCGTCAGGTTGTGGATGTCGCAGCAAAAGTGTGGTTTCCGATCCTCGATGGCCTTTACGCTCTTACTGAGAATAAAGCCGATGGTATCGCGCATGAACTTGTCGAAACGAGCATAGGACTCTCGCTGGGTCTCCGCCAAGTCCGCTACAAGTGACTCTTTGTAGGGCTGATCGCAAAATAGCAGGCGGTTCTGGCTAATGAAGCTCTCGCGGAATACCTTTAGCTCCTGGTAGATCGCGCCGATCGGAGCCAGCAGGCAGAGCTTAATGATGGCAAACGTCGGCAGCATAGTCTCGTTCTTGCCACTCCGCTGACTCAGGATGCTCACGATCGTCTGCCGCTTGGCTCGGGACTTCCTCTTGCCCACGTATTCCAACGCGACGGCAAAGCGCATGGTTTGCACTAAACAAGAAACAAATTTTATGCCAATTCGAACTTAGCTGAGAATTTAAGTACTTACCTCCTGGATATAGCATTATAGCCGGATCCAGGATGCCCTGGAACACCTTATGGTAGGAGTTCCTGGAGCTCGACTGGAAAACTTCCACTGCCAAGTCATACTGCTGGCATACAATAGCATTGCACAGAGCATCGGCCATCGCCTTGGTGAGGATATAGCGATGAAAGCCATTGCAGATGATCGCCTCATCAAAGATAGTGTCAATCATACCAAATTCAACCTCCAGGCCTTCGGAGAGGGCGAGCTGCGAGAAAAGCTTGTGCATCTCCACCTCCATGGTGGACTTCAGGCCGGTGGTTTTGTATTCCGGGATGGTCTGGCGGAAGTACTCGAAGACATGGTGAATGAACTGCTTGCTTATGCAGTCCTGTTCCAAGTTCGAGAACTCGCACAGTGGAATCAACTGGAATTCGTTTCCCTGGTTGGGCAGCTTCGAGCGAAAGCTGATCCTCACAATCATGGAGTCCACGTTCAGCAGGTACTCTTCCTTTAGATTGTAGATGGACTCGAAGGTGATGAAGGCCATGTTGGTGAAAGTCAGCTCCTTGGCAATGGGCAGCAGTGTATATAGATCCCAATCCGTGTGGACGGTGGTGCGGAGCTCTTGGGGCACATCGGGTACGGGATAGAGGTAGAGACACTCTCTGATCATGCTGCGATGATGACCGAACAGCTTGATCACGTCCAGATAGCCAGCGCTGAGCAGCACCAGCTGCTCATTCCCCGGGTGATAGTCGATCTCCCTGTGCTCATCATAACCATCGTCAAAAATGCTCGCCACGGAAAGCACCTGTGGATCGTCAATAAATTCACCATCCTCCGCCTCCTCGCCGTTATAATCGCTGGTTATATCGCTCTGCCGCATGTAGAACATAACAAGGAGCGGATTGTTGGCTGCATGGTTGATGCGGTCCAGGTTGTCCTGCTGGAAGACCAACGTGAATGTGGGCTTCGTATTGAACTCATTCTGCCGGATAATCCCTTCGGTGTTGTAGTGCTCCTCGCACTTGATGATCAAACTGTCGCCCTGCCTTAAATGGATCTCCAATGGATGGATCGTCTTCGGCAGGGTGGTCGGGCAGATATTTGCCAGTTGTATATACAAAAAAACATTCGGCGGCTCTGGATGGACAGGGGCAGCAGCTTCCAACGATTGAACACTGGTTTTACGGGTACCCTTTTGACGTTTTGCTGGCATTGTCGATCAAATTGTGTTTAGGTTTATATTTAAACTGTAACGGGAAATTACAAGCAATCAGATCGACAAATGTTTTAAGACCAGAGTGGGGGTAACTAAATTGGATGTAGATTTAACTAGCGCACTGCCAATGTTCCATTGTGATGGAATTCTTCATTCGGTTTTTAACCGCGTAACTTTTGATTATTTCTAACGGCCATTTATAGCGCAAAGTCAATGTTACGCAGCCCTGGCAGCTGCGGCCACACCCCCTCACGTGTAAATTTGTAGAAACTGTGTAGTTACAGTGTAGATTTACAGTGTAGTTGCCATGTAATAAATTGAGCAAATGTAAAGAACAAAAAAAAACACATTTGACCGCTAAAACCTTGTTTTCGACAAAATCCAACAAAAGCAAGAGTTTAAAATCAACCAGTCAAAATTGATTCATTAATCGTATAAAATTATGTGGGCATAGATAAAGGCCCGGTTGACAACATTTAAATCCTTGTCGCTCACATTCAAAAAAGTTCGATTTGGCGCGCACCACTCGGTATATTTTTCAAATGAGACCGTACATTTCGGTGCTGTTCTGAGGGTCATACTGTAGAAACTGATTTTCGCCGCGCTCCCATGTGGTGTTTTTTAGTGCTAAATGGTATTTTTGTCATTTATTAATTTCATTTTCAATGTTATATAAAAATCCAATAAATGCAAGTATTTCGAATAGGCCAATCATGTATAGAATTGATTCATCAATCGTATAAAAGTGAGTGGGCATGGCTAAATGTTCCATATAGATAGTATTATTCAACGGAACAAAGAATATGAGGAATTGGTCGTTTTTTTGAATCGAATTTGAATTCGCCGCAGTTCGCTTTAGCAACAATGAGTCTCATTCCATACACAAACATGTTGCTAACATACCCTGGGGGAAATGGATGTTATAGAATTGAGGAAAAAGGGTGTACAAAGCGTTACAAAGCGTTACAAAGCGTACAAGCGTTATGTCTCCAAATTCCAGCGACATTGCAACTGTTTTTTTGTTGAACTATTTTGCTTAAACCTTGTTTAGTCAAAATACAATAAAAGCAAGGACTAAAAACTGGCCAGTTAAGTAGGAAATTGATTCATTAATCGTATTAAATTATGTGGGCATAGATTAAGGCCCGGTTGATAACATTAAAATCCTCGTCGCTCACATTCAAAAAAGTTTGATTTGGCGCGCACCACTCGGTATATTTTTCAAATAAGACCGTATATTTCGGTGCTGTTCTGAGGGTCATACTGTAGAAACTGATTTTCGCCGCGCTCCCATGTGGTGTTTTTTAGTGCTAAATGGTATTTTTGTCATTTATTAATTTCATTTTCAATTTTATATAAAAATCCAATAAATGCAAGTATTTCGAATAGGCCAATCATGTATAGAATTGATTCATCAATCGTACAAAATTGAGTGGGCATGGCTAAATGTTCCATATAGATAGTAATATTCAACGGAACAAAGAATATGAGGAATTTGAATTCGCCGCAGTTCGCCGCAGTTCGCCGCAGTTCGCCTTAGCAACAATGAGTCTCATTCCATACACAAATGTTGCGCATTCCATACACAAAAGTTGCGGCAACATTTCCTTGAAAACCGTTTTTTGGTCAAAATAAAATATATTTAGATAATTAAAAGAAGCAATCTTGTAGAAAATGCATTTATCTATGGGATTAAGCTAAGTGGGCAAATCTATATAGCTTGAAATATAGGCAATACCCGATTCGCCGCAGTTTAGCTTTTGCAACAATGAGTCTCATTCCATACACAAACATGTTGCTAATTCCATGCACACATACCCTGGGGGAAATGGATGTTATAGAATTGTGAATACGTTTGTCTTCCAAGACTCCGTAGGTATCAGGATCGCTATAAATATATACAAGATACTTATAATGAACTTGAATATGTCTAAAGAATATCAATTTGAGAAAAGGTCTTTATAAATCACGTTTTATCTTCATATAAAATTAACAAAATAGGGTGTACAAAGGGCTATACACGCATCACGTCTTCAAATACCAGCAACATAGCGACTCTTTTTTTTGTTGAACTTTTTTGTTTAACCCTTTTTTTACAATAAATACAATAAAAGCAAGGATTAAAAACTATCCAATCTTGTAGAAAATTGATTCATTAATCGTATAAAATTAAGTGGGCATGGCTAAATATTCTATATAGCTAGTAATATTCAACGGAAGAAAGAAAACGAGGAATATGTAAAATAGAACTTGAATTCGTCAGTATATTTACGGTATATTTTCAAAATGAGGCGGTATATTTCGGTATATTTCTCAGCGTCAGCCGTTATATTTTATCGTTAAATCCGCGGTCACACTATACCGCCATGCGCTTAAAACAACAACAAAAAAAAACAACAACAATTTGGTTTTCTGTGTGTGTGTTATGCAATTTGTGTGAAAATTGTGGAAAACCGCATGAATTGTATGTGTTTAACGAGTGTCAACTGGGTGTAGGCTCCACACGTAGCAGCAGAGATCCGAAATGTATCGTTTGCTGAGCTCAAATCGAGCCGCAGCCATGCACAAGGTGCTCCGAGCGCCACCCACGGCCAACGGCACGACAACGGCGTGCTGCGATTGCGGTGGGACCTTTGCAACGCAGAATTTCGTACATTATCAGCAGTACTATCAGATGCTATACCGCCAAATGCCGGCAAGTGAGTAATGAAGTACGCTTGAAACAGAATCTGAATTATTGTGCATCGCATTCTTTGAATTTCAGTTACTGCAACACCATTCGCACACCGGCCACAGACCACTGCACCGACACAGACGGAGGCCGAGAGCCATGGAAAGAAGAAGCGCTTGCGCAAGCCACGCTACGCCAAGTATGTGGAGCTGCTGGAGGGTATGTACTTGCCACAGAAGTCCACAAAAGTAAATTGAATGATTGCAATTGGTTTCTCGATTTGCAGTCACTGAGCAGACCGCCAGCGAACGAAAGTCGCGCGTTAAGCGCCTCAAGTCGAAGAAGCTGGCCGAGTTCATACAGAAAACCCAAATGCAAATACTGGAGAAGCGGGCCCGGGAAGAAAAACGCGGCTTGAAGAAGGGCAAAGTCGGCCTGGAGCTGGACATGTCCCAGCGGCAGCCCGTGGAGTATCAGAAAATCGACATGGAGGCACTGGATGGGTCCATTTTGGAGTCTGGCATATACGATGACCGGCCTATGCTCTTCTTTGGCAAGGACGAGTACACAAAACAAATCATCGCGAGACCCGAAGAGGTGCAAAACATCCTCAAGAGTTTTCACAACTTTCGCGATATCATCGAGAGCATGGGGAGTGAGCAGCAGGAAGCCGATTTCGGGTGAGTCATGTCAATAAGTAATGAAACCAATTAATTAACCAATTTCTGTTCTCTGCAGCCTCAGTGCACCCAAGCCCGTGGACGAGCTGGAAGTGGTGGATCCCTTTGAGACCATAGAACCCTACATCAATCCTTTAGACAAAATCAGACCCGCTGTCACAGCTGTCGTTGTGCCCAACGCCAGCTCAGTTACAGCCAAGTCCAAAAAGCGGTAGACCAGTCTTCTTCCTAATCTTACACTCTTCGATTGTTTAAAGTCCTTCCTTTCCGTTCCGTTTGATAGATTCAAGTCAAAGGTTCACGTGAATGAGGAGCAGGAGCGTCTGAGCAAGCAGCGAGCATTGCAAATCAATTTGCATACCTATTTGAATGTCTGTGTCTCCGCCAATATGCTGAGTCGAGCCCTGTCCACCATCATTGCGTATCGCAGCCGGATCAAGAAGAGCTCGAGTCCACGTCTGACCGAAGGCCTCCTCACGATTGATCTCTACAACATCTTGCTGCATGGGTATGCGAGCAAGGGATCCTTCGAGCGCTTCGAAGATATCTTTAAGCTGCTCGAAGAGGATGGCTTGACGTTCAATGAACAAACCTATGCGGCCATCTTCGAGTGTTTGGGTCGTTTAGAACCAGACGAACAGAACCAGCAGAAGCTGTCCCAGTACATATCCCAAGCTGAGGATGAAGGCTTCACTTTGAACCAGATTATGGATAAGTCTAAGTTCGTTGCCGATCAACGTGACATTGCCCTGGATGCACTACGTCGGATTCGTCCCAATTTCACGCCTGTCTATGTGCCGCCGCTACTGGGATATGACAACGAGCTTCTGAATCATCTGAACGATCATGTACTACCAGTGGGCGCAGATACTGAAGCGAGAACAACGGATGCAGACTGCTCCATTATGAATTCGAAGAGGGGTTATAGCAAAGCGAAACTAGAGCAACTCGCTCGCGATCAGCTGAAAGTAGAACTAGACGGCTGCATCACCATCAAATCGATCGAGAAAACCAAAGAGTTTGCCAATGCTGATAAATGCGTAAGTGCTGAATTAGATTTATTCTTATTTGTGCTAAAAATGTTTTTATTTTCCTTCCAGCGCGAACGACTGAAGGAGCTGGAGCAGAGTTGGCGTAAACAAATCTCGACAGCTATTGTACGCGACCTCAACACGTTGCGTGCCCAAGTACGCTTCAAGCCGCATGGCTACATGAACTACTACACATATCTGAAGTCCCTGGACACCGCACATTTTGCCGACATACTCATCAAGGAGCTGTACAAGCTGGGCGAGGGTTCGGAGACGTTTAGTCCGACGGTGGGGCAGCTGTACAAGGAGCTTGGCGAGAAGGTGCAGCAACGCTATCAGATCGAACAGAAGAAGCACAACGGCACGCTTGAGAAGGTCGGTGAGATTTACAGTTCCTATTGCGATCTCTGGGACAGTGGCAATACCCAGGACAATGCACGACAGGCGTGGCAGCGTCTGGTGCACGAGCAGAGGGAGAGCGGACCCAGCATGGATCTGCCCGAGGTTCCATGGCCGTCGAACGTGCTGGCCGGTGTGGGTCGATTTCTATACAACATTCTGATGCGCGACATCAAGATCGATCCGCACATAATGCGTCAGAAGAGTAAATCGAAGACCACCTCATCACAGAACCTGCTTCCCGCCTTCTACACATTGTTCCGCAATCAGGGTCGCCTCGTTAAAGAGGAGGTGAAGCCGCACCCGGTGCTCTCGAGATTACTGCGTGGCTCGCGACAGCAGACTCTCACCTTTGACTCCAATCTGGTGCCGATGCTGTGTCCCCCGCAACCCTGGAGTACGCCCCACAATGGTGGTTACCTGCTAAATAAATCCGAGTTGATTAGACTGCCACATCAGGCCATTCAGCAGTGGGAGCGGATACGGGCCTCGAATCCGCAGCATCTCTACCCTGCATTGGACTCGCTCAACCAACTGGCCAGCGTTCCGTGGCGCGTGAACACCCAGCTGCTGGATGTCATCATCGAGGTATTCCAGAATGGTGGCGATGCCAAGCTGGACGTGCCCCAGCCGCCCACTTCCCTGCCGCCGCTGCCAACCATCCTCAAAAACAGCGAGGGCAGTGGCGTCTCCAATGCGGATCTCGCCAAGCAATTCCGCGAGAAGCTCGGCCATCGACGGAAGAAGGCCGAGATGTACAGTCTGTGGTGCGATGCCCTCTACAGGTTGTCCCTGGCCCAACATGTAAGTAATCTAAAATATCATCCAGTTCGTTCAGGGACTATATTTCTCCGAATACCCTTTGCAGTACCGCGACAAGGTCTTCTGGCTGCCGCACAACATGGACTTCCGAGGACGCGTCTATCCTGTGCCGCCACATCTCAACCATTTGGGTTCGGATCTGGCTCGTTCGATGCTCATCTTCGATCAGGCCCAGCCGCTGGGCGTCGATGGATTTAGTTGGCTCAAGCTGCACTGCATCAATCTGACCGGCCTCAAGAAGCGCGACTCGGTACGCGAGCGTCTGCTGTATGCGGAGGAGATAATGCCGGAGATACTGGACTCGGCGGATAATCCTCTCACCGGTGGCATGTGGTGGGCCAAGTCGGACGCACCGTGGCAGACGTTGGGCTGCTGCATGGAGATAGCCAATGTACATCGTTGCCCCGATCCAGCCGCCTATATGAGTCGTTTTCCCATTCATCAGGATGGCTCCTGCAACGGGCTGCAACATTATGCAGCTTTGGGTCGTGACAAAGCGGGCGCCTACAGCGTCAACCTGGCACCGTCGCCCATACCGCAGGATGTGTACAGTGCAGTGGCCACGCTGGTGGAGCGCGGTCGGAAAGCCGATGCCCAGAACGGACTGCATGTGGCCGAGGCGCTGGCTGGATTCGTGCGCCGTAAGGTTATCAAGCAGACGGTGATGACTACAGTCTATGGTGTGACCCGCTACGGGGCCCGACTGCAGATAGCGCGACAGCTGAAGGACATCGATGACTTCCCCAAGGACTGGGTGTGGCCGGCGTCAACTTACCTAACGACCAAGACGTTCGAGAGTCTACGTGAGATGTTCACATCGACGCGAGAGATCCAAGACTGGTTCACGGAGTGTGCGCGTCTCATTTCGGGCGTGTGCAGCCAGAACGTGGAGTGGATCACCCCGCTGGGCCTGCCCGTGGTGCAGCCGTACAACCGGCAGGAGATAAAACACACCTCACGTACCGGACTGCGCGTCAACGCCAACATGTCCATGGACATGTACGAACGGCCCAACATCCTCAAGCAGAAGAACGCCTTTCCGCCCAACTTTATCCACTCACTGGACTCGTCCCACATGATGCTCACCTCGCTACACTGCGAGCGGAAGGGCATCACCTTTGTGTCCGTGCACGACTGCTTCTGGACGCATGCCTGCACTGTGCCCGAGCTGAATCGCAGCTGCCGGGAGCAGTTTGTGGCACTCCACTCGCAGCCAATTCTCGAACAACTCTCGGACTTTATGCGGAACACGTACAGCTTCAAGGACAAGTAGGTTTCCTCACTATATCTGGCTTTATTTTCGTTCTTAAATAAACACTATCTTGTTCTTACAGCGACTTCACTAACGATGGCTCCGTGGAGGATCTCTCCAAGCGCCAGCTGAATCGCACCCTCAAGCAACTGCCTCAAAAGGGGGACTTTGAACTGCGCAACGTACTCGACTCGATCTACTTCTTCAGCTAGGATATGGTTATTCCCACTAAAGCTACACGTACAAACAACAAACAACAACAGTGCCTAATTTTAATTCTATTCATTAGCTCTACGCAATATTACTACATATTTAATTTGTTGAAAAATTCGGCCTTTGATACCAAAAAACAAACAAAAAAAAAACCAACGAGATCGTCGAGTGGATCGATGCCAAATGTGATTTTGTAAACTGCTTATTAAAATTATTCCTTTTAATTGTTTAAAACAGTGTTTTTGTGTTTTAGCGAAATGGACTACTAAAATTGTGCAGCTACTGAGCTTCAGAGCCCTAATACATATCCAAAGTATTCAGGATTTCCTGGCCAATAAGCTTCACTATAGATCAGAACACAGATTGATGTATTAATTATTAAATCTTATTAAATTTACCAAATTCTAGAGGAATTTTCTTAACGTTTCCGGGAATAATTTCCATTTTCATAGATAAATTTGTTTTTCTTCTATTTATTTAATTTAAATCAGTCAAATTTATTTGATTTTCATTAAATTTCACCAAAATCTCATTTGGAAATTTAATTACACGCTGCACCTCCCGTTGCGAGCAAACTGTGTACATTATTCTGTATTTATCCAATGCCATTTTATTTTATTTCATTTCCCATGGCATTTTTTAATTGTTGTGTGTTTGGTTACCTCAATGTTTTTCAATTCGTTCGAATCGAAGCATTTTATGCGTTGTATTGGAAACAATTTGTGCGTTTTGTGTGTGGGTGGGTGTGTGTGATTGTTTAATTAAAATTGCAGATATATCTGGTAATAGTTAATTGTATGGGTGTTCCTCTTGTGCTAAATTGAGTTGAAAATGGAAGAGTGAAAGAAGTAGCACCTTTAGCAAGTGTACCTAGTATTTGAGTGAAGAGGATACACTACCAGTAAATTAACATATTACATATTTGTTCGGTTAAGGGCCTTCTTTTTTTTATGTTGCTTTTCGTGGGGAATCCCCATGAACTCAATCCCCAATTGAAGCTCGGCCGAACCGAACCGCTTTCCACTGCTTTCGTTTTCACTCATCTCATTCACTCTTTGAGCGCAACTTGTTGTTGTTTTGTGCCCGTGACCACTCGCTTTTCACTCTTCCTTCTTCCTAGCAGCCATCTCTGGCTACTGCCGCTGCTGCTGCTGCCGGCGCACCATGCACTATGGTCCGCACGACCACTTTTGTTGGCCAAAATTAATAACTCCCGAACGAAACAAGATTTTTGTATTTAGTTTGTTGTATTGGATATTTGTGGCACCGCCCTTTTTTTAATAATGCATACATAAATTATTAGTTATAGTGCAAAATAGGTATTAAGCATATTTGATTTAAAAAAAACGGCGTTGCACGCCGATAAAAACAGTTGGATTGCACAGCTGATTTTGCGAATGTGGCGCCATCTATGGAAATTTTTGGTTCGCAGCTTTAATGGTCACTCAAAACCAGGTTTTAGTTTTGACTTTTAAAAATTTTGTTTTGGCCAACAAATTGGTCGTGCGGACCATAGTGCGGCGACCGGCGGCGTCGTTGACGTCGTCGGCTTTCTTTCGGGGGTGCTCTCATTTGGGGGCTCGTGTGTGCCCGCTCGCTCGCTCGCTCGCGTTCGTTCAGTTCGGCTCAGTGTTCAGTTCATGTGGCGGCGCGTCGAGAACGTTTCGAGTGACCGGCGGCATTTCCGTTTGAAAATTTCTCACGCAAACAACGCGCATTCTGCATTCGGCATTCGGCACTCGGCATCGGCATCTGCATCTGCAACGGCATTCGAAATCGTGTTCGCACAACCAAAAATCTGTTGGCATCAGTGTCCGAGAGAATTCCATGTGGATCGCTGACTAGAAAAAGGTAAAGCCCGAACAACAATAAAGCCAGCTGCTTGATTAGCTTTTTATCACCTGCTATCATTCACGTACAACAGACACGAGATGTGCGGGTGAGATGATGCGGTCTGTGGGGCGAGGTGGGGCGAGGAGGAGAGGGGAGGCGAATTATGGTGTGGTGTGAAGAAGGTGTGTAACAGAACCGCAAAATGCAGCCAATTCGAAATTGAAATCCGCTGAAAGAAGCACCACTGCCACCACCCGCACCCGCACCCGCACCAAGAGAATCCCACAAAAGTATTTTCTGTTTGCTCGGCAATTTCTGAGGCAATTTCGGTTTTTGTGTGTGTTTTCTGTTCTGTGGGTGCTGCTGCTCTGCTGCTCTGGTCTTTTGTTTTTTGTTTTGTTTTTCTGTTCTTCTGCGCTGTATCTTTGAACCCTTCTGCTGTGCTCTGCGGGGTCTTCTTCCGTTTAAGTGTGCCATAAATGTAAGTGAATGGTGCGAATTGTGAATTGCAATTGATAAATGACCCTCCTCCATAAACGAATAAATGAATAAACGAATAATGGCGTTATCAGGGTGACAGTGTGAGCCTTATCGGCCCCCCGAGGGTATCGCATTAAAACTAATTGAATTATAAACTATGCTTGTTTGTGCATGTGCATGCAAATTGCCAAGAATAACAGTATCGCCAGGCAGGGGCAGCAGCAGAAGAAGCAGCAGCGAAAAAGTAGCAGTAGCAGTAGCAGTACACTGAGATAATGGGGTAGCATACTCTGCTTCTGGACCAATTTAGACCTAGTGGTGGATATGGATTTCCTACTCTTGTTTTACATAAACAAATCTTCCGCTCCATCAGAAGCTGAAAGCAACACGATCACTTATAAGAAAAACTAGGAAGCTCTCATTCTGTAATGGTTTTTTCCATCATCGTTATTCGTTTTCTCATTTTCCGCTTAACTTCCAAGCCATATGGAAAATATAACGCATACAATCTTGGATATCCTGATAAAGTTAATTATATATGTATGTATTTCCCCCACCATTACTCGTTTTACTAACTGGCCCCGCCATATGGAAAATATGATACTTTAGAAATGAAAGCCGAGTACATATTTTTTTGTGCGGTGTAGCAGAGGAGCAGCAGAGCAGAAGTAACAGTGGCAGCAGCAGCAGCAGAGCAGGGCGTCAGAAGTAACAGTATCCACAGCCAAAGTTCGACTCGACTCCAGCCTCTGCGGGTGTCGGAGAGCATTTACAGATAAAATCAAAGCAGAGAAAGAGCAGCCAGCAGCAGCACACACTCTCGTATATTTGTAATTGGGACAATGTTTTTACTCCACGATGAGAGGGAGAGGGAGGGCGAGGGGTGATGGGATGGGATGGATACCCGGGACCCGGACAAAGTTTAAACATAGTTTTCTGTTTTCGTGATAATGTCATAATTGACAGCCTGCAGACAGTTTTGATTGAATCTCGAAGGGAAATTGCGGGGAAAATACATATTGCAATTCCCATTCTCCTTCCGGCGTCCGATTCCGATTTCGATTTCAATTAAAATCGCCCATAAATAGGTTGGAGGTGGGACTATCGTGCGTATGCGTAATATGCGAGTGCCATAACGGTAAGCTCATATAATCCCTTTCGCCTACCCTTTCTCCCTTACCGGGGGAGTGGCGGCGGGGGCCCATATTTTTCCGGTGTGTGAGCATCGCATTGTGTTTTGGGCTTAATGGAAAAAGTGTGTCGGTACATCAAATGGGTTATTATCCGTTTTGCCACACTGGAAATGGCCATTTAAATTTATATACTTGCTCGTTGCTGCCACACGAGCGTGCGGCACGCTGAAGTGCTGTGGCAAGCTTCAGTATGTAATGGTTAAGTCATGATGTGGGTGATACCTAAATAAATGTTATGTGTGGCAGGGTCTGTTGTGAATTACCCAAGAAATTGTTGTATTTTATTTATTCAGATTCAGATTGCTTTGTTTGCGGCTCAACTAATTGTTTTATTTATTTCAATACTGAGAAATTACAGGGCAACCATTTGTATTAGGTCTTGGTTTCATCTAGTCACAAAAGAATGAATATCGCCTATCATATAACTAGTTATATAAGGTTCTCCTTCTCCCTATTAAATACCACACAAAAAGGAACACCGAAGGAAGACATACACACTCCATACGAGTATTGTATATCTAATGGTATCTGCCGCTTCCTTTGTTTTCTCGTTGGTGATTCTCAGAATTGAGCTCTATGTTTACAAAGAAACCTCTTAAGAATTCCATCAAAACCCATCACAACACATCAAACACACATATTTAAATATGAATAGAATTTCCTACGAGAGGAAAATTCCCTTTAATTAAAGTTATTGAAGATTACACGTAAACGTGCACGTACTCTCACATTTCCATCAATTGCCAGCTGCCAGTCACAGATTCACTCAACAGCCTTTTCTGCTTGGCTCTTCTTGGCTGTTATCATCATTTATCATAACCCATATGTAGGTTTCAGTTATTTCTGAAGCCGCTCGAAACGATTCGATGATTCAGCACGGCACACAATGGTAATCTTTCCATTGCTTTCCTTTATTTATTTATTGCACATTTAATGGACAGGCAGAATTCCAGATAATTTCCATTTCAATGTCATTATGAGGGAATTACGGATTTCCAGAACCTACAACGATTGTGTGTCCGCATTTTGCATTGTGGCCCAAAAGATAAGAAGTCAGTCAGCCGAATTCTGTCACTGAACCCGAACCACTCTCGGCTGCCACCTGGCGTGAGTTGTGGCCATTATCTGGCGGGGTGGAAAGGTGGAAGTCCAGTCAAGTGCGAGTGCCAGTGCGAGTGCAGGCACAGATTATGCTGTTTTGGCAGCTCACTCTTCGGGGGAGGGGGCCAGAAATTGCCACTGAAGTATTTATGGCACTCCCACTCACAGTGCTTTCCCCCCACCGTTTGTCACTCGGACACCACCTGACCTGACCTGAGTAATTAGTTTCCACCGAAAAGCAAGTACAGACGAACTTCTTTAACTCGGACTGGATTGTGGCAGAAATAAAGACTTTCTTTCAGGTAGAATAAAAGCCATAAAAACAGCTTATATGTATTTCATTGAAATTATTTATATTTATTCAATTGATCAACAATTAACTGAAAACTATGAAATATAATATTAACAATAAAGGGAAATATAGAAGAGGAAAAAAAAGAAGAGAGATACTCGAAATATTTCAATCCTTTAGATTTTCGAGTATCAACTATCTAATATTTTTACTGGACCCGCAACATTTCAAAGACCTTTAGAACGACACGAATGTTTTTTTTTTGTTAAAAATTTATTGAGAATACTTTATTCGAGTCAAAAATCTTCTTCAACCTGACTCTAGGCCTTTGTATC